GTCACCGACCTCTCGAGACAGATGAAGGACGCGTCGAGCGGGTACGACGCGGAACTCGCGCGCGTGGGCGCAGAACTCTCGAGCCTGCAGTCGATGCTGACGCAACGCGAAGAGGTGTTCGAGTCCATGCAGCAGCGGCTGAACGAGGCGCAGGCGGCGGAGAGCGCGCGGCGGAACGCGGAGATCTCCGAGGCGCGGTCCGAGATGAGCGACATGCAGGCGCTCCTCGAGAAGATGGCCGCGGACCTCCAGGCGAAGAGCGACGTCGAGCGAGAGCTCCGCGACGCGCGCGAGTCGCTCGCGGCGACGGCGGCGCTCGAGGAGGCCAAGGACGCGCTCGAGAAGGAGACGGTCGCGCTGCGGCGGACGCTCTCGGAGAGGGAGCGCGGCATCGACGACGCGATGGAGAACATCAAGGAGTTGCGCGCGCGTCTGCGCGCGGCGTCGTCGCTCGCGGGGCTGCCGCCGCCCGCGGGGACGCTCACCGGGCTGACCCGCGCGATGTTCAAAGACGCGTTCGGAGACGCCGCCGACGCCGACGACGACGAGATGACCGACCTCGTCAACGCGTCCGTGTCCATCGCCGCGCGCCTGGACGCCGCGCTCGTGTCGCGCGAGCGCGACCTCGCGAACGCGAAGCCCGGCTCCGTGCTCGAGGCGCGGTTGATGTCGGAAGTCGCCGCGATCGAGCGTCAGACGCGCGAAGTCCGAGAGATGGAGTCCGCCGCGGAGGCGAGCGAGGCGGACCTTCGCGACGCGGAGGCGGCGTTCGCGGCCGCGGAGGCGAACTACTTGGATCGCATCGAGGAGCTCGAGGGGGATCTGGACGACGCCTTGGCCGCGGCCGCGGCCGCGGAGAAGCGCGAGGAGGAGCGAGGCGATGTTGTCGACGCCGACGCCGCGACCGTCGAGGCGCTCGAGGCGCGGCTGGCGGAGAGAGACGCACAGCTGGCGGCGTCGACGGCGGCGTTCGAGTCGGCGAAGAAGAGGTTGCAAGACGAGCTCGCGGCCGAACGCGTCGCGAGGAGAGACGAGGTCGCGACGCTCCGAGCCGAGCGCGAAGGCGTCGAAGCGCGGTTCGCGTCGCTGCGCGCGTCGATCGAGCGCGAGGAGGAGGACGCGGCGCGCGCGAAGGAGGCCCGAGACGCGCGCGTCGCGGAGCTCGAAAAAGAACGCGACGCGCTCAAAAAAGCCGCCGACGCGGCGACGCGAAAGCTCGACGCCGCGGACGCCGCGACGACGGCCGCGAAGCAGGCGAGCGTCAGCGCGCTCGCGGAGGTGGAGGCGACGCTCCGCGCGCAGCTCGCGGAGGTGGACGCGCGGAGAGTCGCGGAGAGCGAGAAGTCCGCCGCGGATCTCGCGTCGGCGACGCGCGCGGCGGCCGCGCTTGAGTCCAAGCTCGCGGCGTCCGACGCTGCGCTCGAGCGCGCGAGGGCGCGCGCCGCGAAGGACGCGGCGAGCCTCGCGCAGAGCGCCGCGCTCGAGGAGGAGGTCGAGAGGCTGCGCGCGGAGGCTGCGGCGACGAGCGCGCTTCTCGAGGCGGCGACGGAGCGAGGCTCGGACGCGGACGCGGACGGCGGCGTCTCGCGACGCGCGGAGAGCGTCGCGCGGACGCTCGAGGCGCGGACGAACGAGCTGAGAGCGCTGGAGAAGAAACGGGAGGAGGATATGAAAGCGTCGAGAGCGCGCGAAGAGAAACTTCGGGCCGAGTCCGACGCCGCGCGAGAGGCGCTCGGGGAGATCAAGTCGAAGCTCGCGGACGCGGAGTCTCGCCTCGCGGCGAGCGACGGCGCCGCCGCCGCCGCCGCGGAGGCGGAGGCGACGCTCCGCGCGCGGCTCGAAGACGCGAACGCCCGCCGCGACGCCGCGGCCGCCGCGGTCGAGGAGGAGCGCGACGCCCTCGGCGCGGAGTGCGCGAGGCTCGAGAAGGCGCTGTCTTCCGCGGAGACGGCGGCGGAGGCAGCCGCCGCCGCCGCCGAAAAAGCGGCGAACGAAAAAGTCGCGACGCTCGAGACCGAGGTGAAGCGCCTCGCGGCGCTCGACGCGGACGCGCGAGCGCGCTTGGACGCGTCCGCCGCGGACGTCGACGGCCTCGCGGCGAAGTCGGCGCGCGACGCCGAGAAGATGGACTTCCTGCGCGATCAGCTCGTCGAGGCGAAGTGCGCGTCGGACGACATGGAGCGCGTCTTGCGCGCCAAAATCGACGAGCTCGCCGAGCGCGCCGTCGCGCTCGAGGCGCAGGTGGCCAACGCGGCGGCGACGTCCGAGGTGTCGCGCCTGCGCGAGGAGCTCGTCGCGCTGGAGGCGGACCGCGCCGATCACGTCGAGACGATGGAGCGCCAGATCAACGACCTTCTGGACGCGCTGCGGACGAAGAACGACAAGTCGCAGCGCGCGGTCGAGCGCGCGGAGACGACGATCGTCGCGCTCGACGCCGCGCGCGAAGACGCCGAGGCGGAGGCGCGCGCGCTCGCGAAGCGGTCGGACGACGCGGCGCGCGAGGCGCGCGAGACGGAGCGCCGACTCGACGCCGCGCTCGCCGCGGTGGCGGACCTCGAGAGCGCGCTGATCGACGCCGAGCGTCGTCTGGACGACGCGGAGGAGGCCGCCGCCGCGTCCTCGGGCGCGGAGGCGATCGCGGAGGGACTCAGAGGGCAGCTCGACGCGCTCGCGACGCGGCTGCAGTCCGCGGACGCCGCGGTGGTGGACCTCGAGCGCGAGGTGGAGGAGGCGCGCGAGAGAGAGCGCGCGTCCGCGGCGACGTTGGAGCAGGTCGCGAAGGCGCAGGCCGTGGACTTCAGCGAGATGATCGCGAAGCTCGAGTCCAAGCTCGTGGCGGCGAACGAGCTCGTCGTGTCCATCATGGAGGCGCGCGTGAGCGACGAGGGCATCGAAGAGGGCGCGAGGGCGCAGCTGCGGTCGATGGCGAAAATCGTCGCCGCGCGGCAACGCGAAGTCGTCGACCTGACGCGAGAGCTGCAGACGACGAAAGAATCGCTCACCGCGAGCGGGGACGAGCTCGCGCGGACGAAATCCGCCGCGCTCGAGCTCGAGGCGAGGCTCGCGGGGACGGAGCGAGAGCTGCAGAGGGAGAAGGAGCTGCTCTCGATGGAGCTTCAACGCGCCATCACGGCGAACATCGCCGCGAGCGAAATTCGGTTCGAGAAGGCTAGGATCCTTCTCAAGACGGCGGAGAGAGCGGAGGCGACCGCGAAGGCGTACGAGAAGGAGATCAAGACGCTGAAGCTCGCGAACGTGGACCTCGCGACCGACGCGATGGCCTCCGCCGCGGACCTGCGAAAGCGACTCGAGGAGTCGGAGGCGGCGCGGCGCCGAGTCGAAAAGAAGTACGGCGGCGTCGACGTCGACGGCGACGGCGACATCGGCGACATCGGCGACATCGGCGACATCGGCGACATCGGCGACGCCTCCGAGGAGCGCGCGTGGCGAGCGGAGGCGAAAGCGCTCCGAGAGAAGATCGCGGACACGGAGAAGACGCTCGCGGACACGTCCGAACGCATGAACGACGTCGTCCGCGATCTCGAGGCGAAGCTCGCCGCCGCGGAGAAAAAGGCGCGAAAGGGCCAACTCCTGGAAGCCGCGAAGCGCGAGCTCGAGAAGCGCCTGAACGACAGCGAAGCGCTCTTGAACGCCGAGCGCGAGCGCCTTCTCAGAGAGGCGTCCGACGCGAGAGAGGCGGCGCTCGAGGAGCAGCGCGTCGTCCGCGCGAAGCTCGACGCGCTGCGCGAGTCGCTGGCGTCGCGCGACGCCGCGCTCGCGGAAGCCGTCGCCGCGTCGGACGCGCTCGCCGCGGCCAACGACGACCTCCGCGCGCGACTGGCGCGCGCGGAGACCGCCGTCGCGAGACGCGAAGACGTCGACGAGCTCCGCGGCGAGATCGAGTCTCTGCGCGCCGCCGCGGAGGCGACCGAGGCTGCGCTCGAGGTGCGAGAGGACGAGCTCGCGGAGGCGCGAAACGACGCGCGCGACGCGGAGAAGACGTCGACGTCGAGAGACAATAAGGTGAACGCGATGAAGTGGGAGCTTTTGAGGATGGAACTACGGAATTTCGTGCCGGTCTCGAGCGCTCGATCCGCGTCGTCGTCGCCGGCGACGTCGCTCGAGACGGAACTTCGGCTGAAGCTCGACGTCATGGAGAAGGAGGCGACGGCGGCGCGGCGCGAGATCGACGCGCTCGTCGCGGACAAGGAGATTCTTCGGCGGAAGCTCGACGAGCAGTCCAAGACGCTCGCCTCCGGGGACGAGGTCGAGCGATACTCCGCGGAGCACGTCGCGTCGCTTCGCGAGGAGATCAAGACGCTGCAGGCGCGCTCGAGCGCGCTCGAACGCGCGCTCGAGGAGAAGGAGAACATCGCGCAGGAGCTCATGAAGATCGTCGTCGACGACGTCGATCGAGGCGCGGGCGGCGCGGGCGCGGGCGCGGGCGCGGGCGCGGACGCGTCGTCGACGCTCACCGCGCTCGTGGGCGGCGAGGGCATGTTCGCGGAGCCGTCGGACGCGGCGATGGTCCGAGCCGCGGCGAGGGCGGCGCAGCTCGAGGTGGTTCTGCGGCAGCGCGAGCGCGCGCTGCGACAGCTCGCGCGCGAAGAGACCGCGGGCAAGGCGTCGTCGGCGGCGCTCGCGTCCTACCGCGCCGAAATCGCGAAGCTCGAGGCGAACGCGGAGACGCTCCGCGCGGAGCTCGTCGCGAACGAGCACGTCCTCGACGACCTTCGCGGGCGCCTCGACGTCGAGCTGAACGTGTTGAAGCGCGAGAGCGGGCGGCTGCGGCGACGCGCCGCCGGTGACGGCGGCGAAACGGCCGACGCCGCGGCGTTTAAAGCGCTCGAGAGCGACCTCCTCGCCGCGGCGTCCGGCTCCGACGTCGCGTTGCGCGTCCTCTCCGACTCGCTGTCGACGCTCGAGGCGGAGACCGCCGCGATCGCCGCGCCCGTCGCGACGCGCTTCTCCGTGCGCTTCGAGACGAACGTGAACCAGACCGTGCACGTCGTCGGGTCGTGGTGCGACTGGGACGTCGAGCTCGGCGTGCCGCTCCGGTGGACGGAGGACCACCTCTGGGTCGGCGACGTGGAGCTGCCGACGGGCGCGAGCCACGAGTACAAGTACATCGTCACGGAGCGTCTGCCGGAGAAGCAGCCAGGGGACCAATCGCCGTGGTTCCCGCAGTGGGGGTTCGCGGAGCAGCGGCTCATGGGGCTGTCCTCGTGGGCGCCGCCGATTCAGGAGGCGCCGGATCGCGCGCCGGAGCTCGAGTTCGCCGCGCACCTGGTGTGCTGGCAAAAGGGGAACAACAACGCGCTCAATCTCTCGAACGTCGACGCGCGCGAGGTGGTGCGCGTCGAGCTCAGGGACGCGTGGGACAGCGCCGAGTCCGCGCCGATGGCGCGCATCGGCGCGAACGGGAAGGTTATAAATATCGAAGAATTCAAGACGAAGACGCTGTTCGGCGCCGGCGCTTCCGCGCCGTCCCCGGGGAGGGCGGTTCTGGAAGACGCGTTGAGAAAAGCCGAGAGCGCGCTGGTGGACGCTCGCGCGCAGATGGACGAGATCACCCGCCTCGCCGCTGAGACGTTGTTCAGCGCGACGGACGGCGGCGCGGGGATGAGCGAGCGCGCGACGGAGGCGCCCGCGAACGCGCTCTGGTCGACGTTCTGGCCGGGCGGTGGCGACGGCGGGAAGAAAAAGAAGAAACAGACGAAGAAGAGCGAAGAGCGAGAAGAAAAAGAAGAGGACGACGGCATCGACGTCGTCTGAGTGTACCACCACTGACGTATTATTTGCGCGTCAGCACTAACTTATTGCTTAGACAATTTCATCGCTAGGATGACGAGGTGACTTTAATTCAAGAAACCTCAAAAGAATCATTTCATCACCGCGCTTTCGCGGAGACCTCCTCCGACATCGCGGCGAACTCTCTCTCCGCCGCGCCCTCTCTCTCCTCCTCCGGGACCAACGCGACCGCGCCGACCCCACCCCCGACCTCGTTATCGTTATCGTTCGCCCCTCCCGCCGCCACCGGCTCTGGCTCAAGGGGCTCCTCTGGAACCCCCTTCGGCGTCGTCACGACCGCCAAGACGCCGTTCCACAGCACGCCCATCACCGCGACGTAGACGGCTTGGTCGTCCACGGGCACCGCGGCGAACTGAAACCCCTGCGCCGGCAGCCAGAACGCGAGATTAGCCTTCATGAGCGAGGGCAGCCGCTGATGCAACGTCTGCAGGACCGTGGTCACGGACTGCCCTTCCAGCGCGCCCTGAAACGCGAAAAACGACGGCCAATACAGCGCGGGGATCACGAGCAGCTGAGGGTCGTTCCATACGAGCGAATATCGGGGTGGAGTTCAAAGGCGTCAGATGGATTTGAAAGGCGTCGAGGGCGGGGATTGAAAGCGGGGTGTGGGCGGAGAGAGACGACGGCAAAAGTCCTTAAGGATCGGCGTTCACCACGCGAACGCGGTCGTATGGGGACCAGTGTATAGAACGCGCCTGATTCACCGCGAGCGGCGCGAGAAACGCGCTCGCCGTCTCCAACGGCTCGACGAGCGACACGCCGCCGATGAGGCTCGGATCGCTGTACCCGCCCGCCTGCGTGAAGAACGCGCCGAACGCGTCCACGACGCCGTCCTCGCCCCCGAACCCGATCCAGTCCCAGTCCCAGTCCCAGTCCCACGCGCCTGGCTGCGACGCGCCGCTGTTGAGGCTCGTCGCGATCCGCGCGTCGACGGGGTCGACGCCCGCCGTCGTCAGCGCCGTCGTCGCCGCGCGCATCTCCGCGAAGCGCTCGGCCAACGCGCGCAGGGAGAGCTCCAATGGCGTGGGGAGCACGAGGTCGGACCAGTCGTAGGAGTTGAGGACGTTGAACCAGTGCGGCTGGAAGAAGCCGCCGTAGCACGCGGAGAAGACCACCGTGCGCGCGACGGCGTCGAAATCGCCGTCTCTGACGAGCTTCCAACGCCACGGCTCCTCCGCGAACACGGCTCCTCGCGCCGGCGCCGCCGTCCCCGGACCCCGCGCGTCCGCGTCCGCGTCCGCGTCCGCGCTGTCGTCGACGCTCCAGTCCGGCGCGCACGCGCCGCCGACGAGGCACGCGGTGTCGTCGTCCACGCTCGACGCCGCGTCGATCGACACCGTCGTCGTGTCATCCTTCGGACGTTGCTTCGCGCGCGTGATGACGCGGCTGCCGAACGCGCCGAGCGCGCTCAGCGCCGCGATCGCGCCCGCGCGTCGCAGCTCCAGCTCGAGCCCGTTCGCGATCCCGCGCGCTTTCTTCGCGCGCGTCACGACGCCGTCGTCCGCTTGCTCCGAGAAGGACGCGAGCGCGTTCGAGAGCTCGCGTCGCTTCTGCTCCAGTCGCAGGCGCGCTTGCTCGCTCACGAGCGTCCTCTCCGCGACCTGCCCGGTCGTCTCCGCGATCGCGGCGCCACCGAGCGCGGCGAGGAGCAGACGCCGGCGCGACGAGGCCGTCGTCGTCGTCGTCGTCGTCGTCGTCGCGGCGGCGGCGGCGTCGTCGGGCGCGACGGAGGCCTCTGACGACGACGACGACGCGCGAAGGCGACGACGACGACGACGCGTTTCTTCTTCACGCGTCGTCGCCCTCGCGCATCGCGCGCGTCCTCGCCGCGCGTCGACGTTCGCGCGCGCGACCGCGACGCGCGCCGTCCCCGCGACGACGGCGTGCGACATCCCGCCCGCGCGTCGCGTTCGCGTGATGTGCCCGCGCTCCCGAGAGCGCGCGCGTCCGAGTGACGCGCGCGACGACGAATCCGCGAGAAGACGCAGACGATATCAGATCCGGATTGTCGACGTGTCACGGGTGACGGGGGGCGTGGCCCGCGTAGTACTTTCGTACGATACAGTACGCGTATGGGCAAACGGTTTGACATCGGTCACAATTGCCCGAGTGCCGCGCCGACGCGGACCTTTTCTTCATCTTTCTGTCGTTTCGAGAAAAAAACCTCGCGGCGGATTACGCGCCGCCGCGACACAACGCCGAGCGCGCCGCCCGTCGTCACACCTCCATCGTCTCGCACGAAGTTCGCGCGTTCGTCGTCGCGTCTTCGCTCTTCTTCGCGCGCGAATACCGAACGCGCGGTCTCGCGCGCGGAGTTCCGTCGCCGTCCTCGCGAGCGAACAATGGCCGCAATGTCGTCCGCCGCTCGCGTCCTTCCGGCGCGGCAGCCGTCGACGCGTAAACCGCCGGCGCATAAATCGCGCGCGTCGTCGACGAAGACCAGAGCGCTTCCGCGCGCGACCGTCGCCGCCATCGCGGCTCCTCCCGCGGGCAAGGTGCGCCGTCGTCCATCTCGCCCGCATCCCCCCCCCCTCCCGCGATGCCCGGAAGAATCCTGTCCTTCCGATGAATGCGCAAAAAGCGCAATTCACGCTATCCACTCTCGCGATCGCCGAGATCTGACCACCTCCCCCCCCGACGCCCCCCGACGCGACGCCCCCCCGCAGGTCCGCTACGACCAAGTCGCCGCGATCAACTTCGAGGGAACGTCCGGCACCGTCCACCTCCACCGCGTCGACTTCACGGACGGCTGGAAGACCATCACCATCAAGGTCGACGGCGTCGGCGCCGAAGGCTTGGAGCTCCACTGGGGGTGCGTGTACGACGGCGCGGAGGATTGGGCGCCGCCGCCCGAGGATGCGGTGCTGCCTGACGACACCCGCGGGTTCGGAGACGACATCGCGTCGCGATCGCCGTTCGTGAACGGCACCTGCGTCATCTCCTTCCCGCCCGACGTCGGCGAAAACGTCGAACGCATCGTCGGCATCGTCGTCCGCGGCGAGGACTGGATGCACGCGGAGAGCGGAGATCTGAGCGTCCCGCTCAAGACGCCGTCTCAGGCGGGGGTGATCAACAAGCTCGCGACCGCGGAGCGGCCGGGGCACGGGTCGCTGTACGAGCGCTTCTGCCGCGTGAACGACGCGCTCAACGAGTCAATGCAGTCGGGCCCCGGCGGCGCCGCGGCGATCGCCGCGGTGCTCCGCCTGTCCGCGATCCGCCAGCTTCCGTGGTACGCGGGGGGGAACTACCAGGGGAAGGACATGGCGCACATGCAAGAGGTGGTGTGTCGTCGCATCGCGGACGCGTCGGCGACGGCGGAGGATGGATTCGCGCGGCAGTTTTACCGGCTCGCGCTCGGGACGCTTCCGAGAGGCGGCGGCAACGGCGACGAGATCAGGCTCGGGATCCTTCAGATCATGCGCGAGAACGGGATCAAAGAAGGGCACCGCCCGGGAATCGAGGATAAGTTCATCGGGCAGTGGCACCAGAAGCTGCACAGCAACACAACCGTGGACGACGTCTACATCTGCGAGGCGTACCTGCACTTCCTTCACACCGGCGACTGGAACGACTTCTGGACGCACCTGTACGAGAACCACGGCCTGACGAAGGAAGACCTCGCTGGGATGAAAGCCGGGTGGAGGACCGAGGGGATCCACGGCCCCGCGGAGCACCTGCCGCACATGATCGACACGTTCAAGCACTTTTTGTGGATCTTGAAAATCACCCACGGCGGCGGCAACTTGGACTCCGCGATGGATTTCGCGCACGGAAACATGCCCGAAGACCTCGTGTACGAAGTCAGGGACATGCTCGCGCACCGCGACGAGCCGTGGGTCCCGACGAAGCTCGTCGAGATCCGCGAGCGCCTCAGCGGCGTGTGGAGGTACGGCGAACACCACAACCGCGACGTCGTCCTCCTCGACATCGCGATGGAAAAGTTTTACCGCCAAAAGATCGAAGCGATGGTGACGGCGAACATGTCCCCGGACGAGAAGCTCGGGATGCTCGAGATGGCGTGCCGAAACGCGTGCGTCGGCCAGGACTTTGACCGCATGCAGACCGCGCTCGCCTTCTTCCAAAAGGCGAACGGCGACGCGAGCGGCTTGACGCGGTGGTCGAAGGAGTGGGCCGTCGTGATGGACGCCGCGTTGGAATCCGTCTCGCTCGCGATGGAGTGGTCTATGGACGAGATGTGCAAGATCATCCAAGGCCCCGCGACGATGATCGGCCAGTGCGCGGAGTGCGACCCGGCGTACATTCAGAACTTTGGCGAGGAGATCGTCCGCGGGCACTCCATGTTCGCCGTCTCGAAGCTCCTCGGCGAGGTTCGCGGGTCCATCAGAGAAGCCGCGGGCCGATCGCCGTGGATCATCGTCAGCGTCGGCAAGCCCGAGCTGTCGCTCCACGCCGGCAAGGTCACGGTCACCGCGCTCGCGGACATCCAGGGCCAGGACATGTCCCGAACTCCCTCGGTGATCATGTCCGCGAAGCTCGGCGGTCTCGAGGACATTCCCCCCGGAGTGACGGCGGTGCTCACGGCGGCGCCCGTGGACCTCCTGTCGCACATCGCGATCCGCGCGAGGCAGATGGGCGTCCTCCTCGCGTGCATGCCCGACAGCGGCGGCTGGGCGGAGCTCATGTCGTACAGCGGCGCGGACGTCAAGTTCGACGTCATCGGCGAGGAGATCCTTGTGAAGAAGTCCGAGCTCGGGGACGCCGCGGCGGCGACCGTCGCGGGACCGGACAAGGGCGCCGCCATCGTCGTCGACGTGACGCCCACCGTGGAGTCGGAGAAGTGGGTCGTCTCCGAGCAAGAGTACGCCGAGGGCGTCGTCGGCGGGAAGTCGCAGATGCTCGCGAAGATGTCCTTCTCCCCGACGTTGTCCTCCTACGCGATGACCTCGCCCACGATGGTAGGCAGCGACGTCAAGGTGCCCTCCTCGTGCGCGCTTCCGTTTGGCTCCTTCGACAAGGCGATAAACGCCGACGAGGCGACGCTCGGGAAGCTCGCCCTGGCGGCCGCCGCGGTCGCCGCCGCGGACGACCACGGCGACGCGAAGCTCCGCAGGGACGCGCTCGAGATCTTGCGCGAGATTATCCAGTTACAGCTCGCGATGCCCGCGGAGCTCGCGACGGAGCTGACGCTCACGTCCAAGGCGTATTGCGGCGGCGGCGTCGACGTTCGCGAGCTGTACGCGGCGATTAAAAAAGTGTGGGCGTCGAAGTGGACCGAGCGCGCGTACTTATCCCGCAAGTCGTGCGGCGTCGAGGAGGAGGAGCTCAAGATGGCCGCGCTCATCATGGAGGTTGTCCCCGCGGACTACGCGTTCGTGATTCACACCGCGAACCCGGTGAGCGGCGACCAGGGGGAGATTTTCGGCGAGGTGTGCGTCGGCTTGGGCGAGGCGCTCGTCGGGAACGAGCCCGGGGGCGCGCTGTCTTTCACCGCGAAGAAGACCAAGGGGTGGCCCGCGACGATACGCTCGCTTCCGTCCAAGCCGGTCGCGCACTTGGCGCCGGAGGGTATCGGCACCATCATCGTCCGCTCGGACTCCAACGGCGAGGATCTGGAAGGTTTCGCGGGCGCGGGTCTGTACGACTCGGTCACCGTGACGCCGACGACGACGAAGGTCGTCGACTACGCGGAGGAGCCGCTGATTTGGGACACGGACGGCAAGCGGACGCGGATGATCGCGAAGCTGTCCGAGATCGCGTGCGCGATCGAGACCGAGATGGGGGCGCCGCAGGACATCGAGGGGTGCGTCGTGGGAGAGAACATCTACATCCTTCAGTCCCGCGCGCAGCAGTTGTGATGAAGGGAATTTAATTCTCTATCTCAACGCGCGAGAGAAGAGAGATTGGAACGAGAGGGACAGAGCGACCGCCGCGGGTTTGTATAGTGTCGCAACGATGACGCAACGCTGCTTTTAAGTAATAACACAAGTAATAACACAAGTAATAACACGGCGCGCGCCCCCGCTCACTCGCGTTTCGGACCCGCCGGCGCCGCGGCGATCCTCGCGCTTCTCCTCTCCCCGCCCGGCCCTCGCGCGCTCCCGAGCTTCCTGCTCTCCACGTACGCCCCCCACCTACCGTACACGACGAGCAACCTCCCCGCGATCAACCCGAACCACATCGCACCGAGGCCGTACACCCAAGACGTGCCCTTCAGCCCCGGGAACGTGGCGAACCAGAGAAACATCGCGCCGCCGACGACGTTGGAGAGCGGCATCCCGACGGCGTAGCACACCTCCGCGAGGTGCTTCGTCCGCCCCGACGTCGCGCGCCCGCTGTCTTTGCCGTACACGAGCGCGATGTTGAACGTGAAGTTCCCGAGCTCGAAGATGGTCGTGCCCAAGATGAACGACCCCAACCCCGCGGGGACGACGAAGAAGAGGAGGAGGCCGACGATGGCGACGACGTGATGCAGGAAGAAGAGCGCGTCGTCTTTGAACAAGTACAGGTCTTTCACCATGAACCCCATGACCGCGCACATGAACGCGCGCTCGTAGAGCTTCGCGTCCGCCATCGCGTTCGAGCCCCACCCGTCCTTCAGCCACGACACGGAGTACAGCCCGCCGCGCGACGCGCTCCACGCGGAGAGCGTCAGCGCGGGGTACACGAGGATTTGGAACGCGAGCGCCACCTGATACAAATACAGCGGCGTGCCGCTGATGAGCCGCCGGGAGCGTTTGGGCGTCCTCGCGATGCCGTTGATGACGATGCACAGCGCGCTCGCGTACGCGCAGCCGGGGAGGTGGGGGGCGATGAGCGCCGCCGCCATCGTGCGGAGGTGCGGGCGTGCGGCGGCGAGTGCTGACGATGCAACCCAGCCCTAAACCCTCTCAACGGCAACAAATTTCAGGCCAGCGAGCGTTTCGATAGATTCGACGAGGCGTTTCTCGGAAAGGCCGACACACTATCTCGCGCCGGCCCCCCCGCGTCTTCTCCGCGTCCGATCCCCGCCGCGATGACCTCCTCCGCGAACGCGATGAGCGCGATGGCGCGCGGGAAGCTCGACGCGTTCGCTTCGAACGTCGTCGAGCGGCACGCCGTGGGCCCTCGCGACGTTCGCTTCGACGTCAAATACTGCGGCGTCTGGTGCGACGAAGCAGATCCCCAGATCCCCGGCGTCTCCGCGCCCCCGCCCTCGCCTCCGCTGACGCCGCGCGCTCGATCCCGCCCGCGACTTCGCCGCCCGCAGCCACACGGACGTGCACTTCGTCAAGGACGACATGAACCTCGGCCTGTCGTACCCGCTCACGCCCGGGCACGAGCTCGCGGGCGTCGTCGTCGCCGTCGGCGACGACGTCACGAAGCTCAGACCGGGCGATAACGTCTCCGTGGGATGCGTCGTCGACTCGTGCTTCGGCTGCCGCGCGTGCGCGGACCTCGAGGAGCAGTACTGCTCGAACGGCATGGTCGGGACGTACGGCTCGATCACCAAGTACGGCCGCCACGGACCGAACGGCGCGCAGACGCACGGCGGGTACTCCGACGCGTTCGTCGTCAACGAGCGCTTCGCGTTTAAACTCCCGCGAGGCGTCGATCTCGCCAAGGCGGCGCCGCTTCTGTGCGCGGGAATCACGACGTACGACCCGCTCGTGAAGCTCGGGTGCGGCCTCCCAGCGTCCGGTCGACCGGAACCGAAGAAACGCGTCGGAATCGTCGGTTTAGGCGGCCTCGGCGGCGTCGGCGTGAAGATCGCGAAATCCTTCGGCTGCGACGTCGTCGCGTTTTCGTCGACGGCGGCCAAGCGCGACGACGCGTTCGCGATCGGCGCGAGCGACTTCGTCCTCAACACGGACGCGGAGCGCATGAAGGCGCTCGCGAAAGAGGTCGCGGACGCACCGCCGCCGCCGGAAGAGCGCCCGATCGCGGTGGACGAAGAGGAGAAGGAAGGTACGGGTCTTAGAACGCAAAAGCCGCCGGGCGGGAAACGCGATGATCCCGTGCGCGCGGCGGCGCGTAGACGTCTGTACGAAGCGCTCGAGCGTGAACTGGGGGATAAGTGCGCGGCCGAGCGTCAGTGGGATATGTCGACCGACGACGAGGACGCCGGCGAGGACGCCGGCGAGATCGAGCGCCCGGGGCCACCCGCCGCGCCCGGCGTCCCCGAGGCGACGTTCCGCGGCCTCGACGTCATCCTCGACACGCTCCCGGCGCCGCACGACCTCCAACCGTACGTCGATCTGCTCTCGCCCGACGGCGCGCTCGTGGTCATCGGCCTGACCGGCGACGCCGCATCGACGATCGTGCCGAGCTCGCTCGTGTTTTCGAGGAAGGTCCTGCGCGGGTCTCTGATCGGCGGCACTCGCGCGACGAAAGAGATGCTCGAGCATTGCGTGACGCGCGAGATCTTCCCGGACGTCGAGGTGATCGACGCGTCCGGTGCGTTCTATACAAAAGTTTTTCACCCATCGCTCGGTTTCAACACTTGATCGCGTCTCATTTCAACTGACCGATGAACTTGTTTTGTATGGAATGCCCTCAGGGATCTCAGACGCGGTGAAGAAGCTGGACGCGAAGAACGATAAGATACGGCGGTACGTCATCGACTGCTCGACGATACCGAAGAGCGCGACGAGCCCCGGGTGAGAGCGAGGACGAGACGAGACGGGACGGGACGAGACGGGACGAGACGACGGACGAATTCGACGACGCGGCGGCTCTCCGAGCGCGCGAGCGAAAGACCTAAGGTTACGCGCGGACGCGAAACGCGTGAACGACGAACGTTTTACGTTTTACGTTTTACTACACCACGCGCGTCGCCTGCCTACGTCGCGTCGTCGCCGTCGTCGTCGTCGCACCCCCCACCCTCCGGCAGGTCCAACGGCAGATACCCGTACTGCCTGAACGCGCCGTCGCCGAGCTCCGGCGTGAACAACACGCCGCGATATTCCCCGCCGTACGCGGACACGAACGCGTCGCCGCTGTCCGAGTTGTACTTCACGAAGCACGGGCCCTCCGGCGGCGGCTTCGGGACGCCGTCGACGTCCAGCCCGTGCAGCATCCCGCGCGGGAGCCCCATGTCGCTCGTCCACGCTTTCAGCGCGTCTATCGCGCCCCGGCAGTCGCCCGCGCAGATGCCCAGCATCACGCGCGAGGACTTCGACGCGAGCGCGCGGCACGACGCGCGCAGCGGCGGATGCGCGCACCGCTTCGCGCCCTCCCGCGTGTCCTCCCCCGGGAGGAGACCCTTCCGCTGGTCGGCGTCGAATCGCGCGAGCAGCCGATCCGCGTCGGCTTTCGCGGGCAGCGACGCGCGGTCGACGCCGTCGGACACGAAGCCCGCGGGTGCGGACGCCGTCGGCGGCGCCGGCGCCGGCGCCGCGAACGGATCGCTCGCGCCGCCCGCCGCGCCCGCGCCTCCGAACGGACCGCCGCTCGGCGTCGCGCCGCTCAGGCCCGTCAGGGCCTGGAACGCGCCCTCGTTCGTGAACGGCGCCGCCGCGGCGTCGTCCTCGTTCTTCTTCTCGGCCGCGCGCGCGCGCGTCGCCGCGCGTCGTCTCTCTACTCGCCGTCGCCTCGAGACGGCCGCGATCGCGACGGACGGGCGAGCCGTCGTCGTCGTCGTCGTCGTCGTCGTCGATCGCGCCGCCGCCGCCGCCGCCGCCGCCGCCGCCATCGCGCCCGTCTCGCCTCGCCTCACGTCACGTCGACGGCCTCGCGTCGTCCCCGCTCCCCTCGGCGTCGCGCTCCGCCGCCTTGGCCGCGTCGCAGCACTTGTTGTACCGGTCGACGTCACCCGCGCACTTGGCGTGATCGACCGTCGACGCCGCCACGCGCGACTTGTTCACCGGCAGCCTCGAGAGGCAGACCTGGATCGCGCACGCGAGGCGCTTGCACTTTCGCTCGCAGACGTCCGCGCCGTCGCGCACGGTGGTTTTCTTTTGATACACGAACGACGCGGGCATGCGACGACAGGACGGCCGCGCGCGCGAGAGTGGCCTTATCGTCCCCCAGACATGACGCGACAGAAAAAAACGAAGACCACGACGACTACCGCGACCGTCGGCGCATCGCGCGACGCGCCGCGGACGACATGGCGCCCGGCGGCGGCGGCGGCGACGCGCCGCAGGGCGACGACGCGGCCCTCGCGTCGCGCGGGTTCGACGACGCCGAGCTCGCGACGTGTATTAAGGTGCTGCGCGCGCTCGGGACCGCGCCGCGCGATCGCGACGGCGCGGACGCCGCCGCGATCGAGGAGAAAAGTGCCGACGCAGAGGGCAGCGGCGGCGGCGGCGGCGGCGGCGTCCACGCCGCGTTCCATCACAAGGCGCACAAGCAGCTCAGAATCGCGCTGCAGCCTTTCCTCGGCGAACTCCGCGGGAAGCTGTTCCACGGCGTGGACCCGGACGTGTACAAGGCGACGCGGCAGGGGAAGAAGGACCGGAACCGCAGAGCGATGCGAGAGCGCGCGCTGGACCGGGAGTTCGTGGACAACAGCCGCATGCGCGCGGAGCGGCTGTCGCGGCTCGCCGCGCTCGAGGCGGGGCACCGCGCGGCGTCGTCCGCGCCGCCGCTGTCGATCTGCGACGGCGACGGCGACGCGGAGGAGGACGAGGAGGAGGCGGCGCGTCGCGACGGATGCGCCGCGCGGCTGCCTCTCGTGCCCGACGGATGCGCCGCGGCGGAGTCGGACGACCGCGCGGCGGCCGGCGACGCCGCGACGCCCTCCGCGAGCGGCGGCGGTCACGGCGGCGAACCTGAACCTCATCCGCCGCCGCCGCTGGGACTCTTAAACCGCCCGCGACAGTGCTACGCGTGCAAGCGCCGGTACCGCGAGCTCCACGCGTTCTACGCGTCGCTGTGCCCCGAGTGCGCGGATCTCAACTGGACGAAGCGGCGACAGACGGCGGACCTGCGCGGCCGCGTCTGCGTCGTCACCGGCGCGCGCGTGAAGATCGGGTACCGAATCGCGCTGAAGCTATTGCGGTGCGGCGCGACGGTCGTCGCGACGACGCGGTTCCCCGCGGACGCGACGTCGCGGTTCGAGCGCGAGGCGGATCACGAGACGTGGAGGGACAGACTCGCGGTGTGCGCGATGGATCTGAGGGACCTCCCGGGGTTGGAGCGGCTGTGCGAGCGGTTCGTCGAGACGCTGCCGCGGCTGGACGTGATCGTTAACAACGCGTGCCAGACGGTGCGGCGGCCGCCGGCGTATTATGCGCACTTGCTCGCGAAGGAGGCGGAGGCGGAGGCGGGCGGGATGAGGTGCGTTCTATACACTGGTCCCCATACGACCGCGTTGGCGTGGTGAACGCCGATCCTTAAGGACTTTTGCCGCCGTCTCTCTACGCCCACACCTCGCTTTCAATACCCGCCCTCGATGCCTTTCAACTTCAACTGACGCCTTTCAACTCCACCCCGACATTCACTCGTATGGAACGACCCTGAGCCGAACGACACGGTTCCTCGGGAACGAACGCGGCGGCGGCGCGGCGTATGGGTTACTCGCTCGCGTCGCCGACGGCGACGGAAACGGCGACGGCGACGACGCGGTTTCCGTCTTCCCTCGCGATGTGGGCGGCTGGCGCGACGGCGACGCGGACGTCATGCGCGGCGCAGGGTGGATGGCCCCGTCCGCGGCGGCGTCGCAGCTCTCCGTGCTCCCCGGCGACGCGCTGGACGCGAGCACCGCGGCGAAACATTTCCCCGCCGGCGCGTTGGACGTCAACGGGCAGCAGGTGGACCTGCGAATGAAGCACTCGTGGACGATGAAGCTCGGCGAGGTGGAGACCCCGGAGCTGTTGGAGGTGCTCGCGGTGAACGCCGCGGCGCCGTTCGTGTTGAACGGGAAACTTCGCGCGCTCATGGCGCGAACGGCAGCGATGGGAAGGAGGGACGTGGATTCGGACCAGGAGCGGGCGGCGGCGGACGGCGACGGCGGCGAATGCGGCGGCGAGCCGGCGGACGCGAGAGCGTTCATCGTCAACGTGTCCGCGATGGAGGGCAAGTTTTACCGTCACAAGACCGCGAACCACCCGCACACGAACATGGCGAAGGCGGCTCTGAACATGATGACCGCGACCGCGGCGGCGGATTACGCGGCCGATCGCATATACATGAACAGCGTGGACACCGGGTGGATCAACGACGAGAACCCGTTGGAGACGGCGGCGAGGATCGCGAGAGACCACGCGTTCCAGACGCCGATCGACGAGGAGGACGCCGCGGCGCGGTGCCTGGCGCCCGTGATCGAGGGGTGCGTCCCGGGGTCGGGGACGCCGCCGTTCGGGAAGTTCTTCAAGGACTACCGCGAGAGCGAGTGGTAGCGGGACCGGGTATCATAACTTACTCGTAGCGGGACCGGGTATCTGATATCTGATCATAACTTATTCGACCTTACTTTCTTGTGAATTGCACAGACACGAGAGGAAAAATCACTGTTGGTACACGCGTCGACCGACAGACTTCCTTCCGTCGGTCGACGCGGAGCGAGCGAATAGCACCCGCCCCACACCCCCCACAACACGCGCCCTCTCTCTCTACCGCGACGACATCGCCTCCTCGTCCACGCGCGTTCTCTCCTTCTCCTTCTCCGAAGTCTCCGTCTTCGCGCCCGCCTCTGTCCCCGCGTCCACCGGGTCGTCAAGATCCACGCTCACCTCGCACACGCCCGTCGCCTTCTCCAAGTCCTCGTAGTACGACCCGCTGCCTTGTCTCGGGAGCGTCTCCACGTCGTAGTCGCACTCGACGGTCAGCCCGCCGGCGCCGTCGGTCACGGTCGTCGTGAACTCGGCGTCGAGCTGCTCCTGGAGCTGCGCCGCGGGTCGCTCCGCCTCGGCGTTGAGGGGTACCTGCAGCGCCTTCTCCGCGTCGCGGTTCACCGCCGCGCTCAAGATGGTGACCCAGATGACCTCGACGCAGTCCACGAACAGGAGCTTGAAGTCCTGGGGGATGATGGAGCTGAACGTGAACGCGTGCACGAAGGGCCAAAATTTCCACCCCGCGGAGATTGCGTTGTACCACGTCGCCTGGATCTCGTTCTTGATGCGTCGCGGCCCGAACCCCTGCAGGGACATGATGCACGTCGTGTACGCGCTGTTCAGGAACAGACTCCACGCGGTCTGGTCCGCGATGATCTTCACCGGGGTGCCGTACCACGCGCCGTCGAACGACAAATTCGCCTCCGTCCACATGAGCCAGTAGTGACACAGTGGCCCGTGAATCAAAAACCCCGCGACGCCGCTCCTCGCGCTGCGCTTCAAATCCACCGTCTCGATCGTCTTCCCCTGCGACAGCTGGCACGTGAAGTCGCCCAGGGTGTACGCCACGCCGGACGTCATCGCCTTCACCGGGAGCGGGTGCGCGAACACCGCGGACTGGTACGCCGCGAGGTTATCTTGCGGGATGTTGCGCAGAACCTCGTACCACGTCCAGCCGGTGCTGATGTCTGAGGGTCGTTCCATACAAAAAAAGTTCACCGGTCAGTTGAAAGGAGAAGCGATCAAGTGTTGAAACCAGGCGATGGGTGAAAAACTTTTGTATAGAACGCACCTGAGTCCACCTCGACGATGCCGAAGACGGCGCCTCCCGCGACGCTGCCGACGATGGCGATGTTCAAGAGCGCGTCGATCTTGTACGAGTTTTTCTTCAAGAACGCGCTGAGCTTGTCCTTCGCGCTCTGCGAGGGGGTCCGGTGGGAGGCGGGGCGTTCGTCGGGACGGGCTCGTCAGAGACGACGACGGATTTTGATGATCTTTGCGCCAAAAAAAAGGGACGACCGCGCGCGATGATAAGACGCGAACCGGGTCGACGGGACGGGCGTCGTCGCGCGCGCGCACCGTCATGTCGCCCGCGTCGTACGACGCGTCCGGGGACGCCCTCGCGGCGACGCGCATCCCGCGTCGCGCGTCCGATTTCGCGGACGCGCTCGGCGCCGCGAGCGCGCGCGCGAGCGACGTCGACGACGACGTCGTCGACGTCGACGCGCGACGACGATGCGAAGATTTCGTCGTCGTCGCCGCGCGAAGCGTCGCGCGCGCGCGCGCGCACCGCGCGCGTCCGACCGCGCCGGACGCGCGAGGCCTCATCGCGCGCGCGTGCGTGTGAGACGCGAGCATCTCGCGAGCGTGCGCGATGCGCGCTTCCACCGCGCGCGCCGTTGTCCTCCGCGGTGGAAGACGGTTGCCGCGAAGAGACTGTTTTCGCGCGAGTAGAGCCACGTGACTGCTTCTGACTGCGGGAATCGTGATTATGATTGGACGACGCTCAACAACTCACCGCGCACGGTCAACTGAATGGGGCCGCGATCAAATGTTGAAAGCGAGGTGTCGGTGAAATAAATCGATCGAAAATATCCCGCGAAAAAAATCTTTAGACTAATTGCCCGTAATAAGAGTACTTTTACCTTCGAAGGTACTTGTACTTTCGTACGTTGTAACGGACAGTTATTTTCTCGCTCCTCTACAGTACTCAAAGACTACCGAAGGTACTTACTCCGCCAAGGCGCGGACGTCGGTGACGCCCGACGGCCGGCTCCCGCGCGCGTCGTTCAGGTGCTCCCTCGGCGGCAACCACCTCACGTACTTCCGAAGCGGCGCGCATCGAAACGCGGGCACGCGCGCGAACGTCTCGCCCCACAGAGCCGCGCGCGCTCCCCCCTCCGCCGCGCCGCCGCCGCCGTCGCCGTCGACAACGCTCGTCCACGGCGGCGCGTCCATCATCACGCCCCCTTCCCCCCCCCCGCCGCCGCTGCCGCATTCTTCAGCCACCTCGCGATACACGAGCAACGTCTGCGCGACGGCCAGGCACGGCAGGTGCGCATTCTTCGCGAGTCGCACGTGCCCGCCGAGCGGCAGACGCGCGGTGACGAACCTTCCGCAGCCGCCGCTCGCGCGCGCCGCCAACGCGTCTGCCCTTCTCAGCGACATCCCGGGTTTTTCCGCGTGGTCGACGACGCCGCCGAGCACGAGCGCGGTCCCGGGGGCGACGTCCGTCAGGACGTTCGGCGAGTCCGCGGTGAGGTAGACGACGCGCCTCGCGTCGGCGGTCAACGACGCTGCCGCAGAGTTTTCGTTTTCGTTTTCGTCGTCCAGGTCGACGACGCGCGCGCCCCAGCTCTCCCACGGCAGCGCGCGCCACGAGTTCGACGCGGGGGGGAGCTCGTCGTCGTTGTTTCCCGGAGGCGCGGCGACGGCGAGCAGGAACGGCGTCTTCGCGCGCTTATTCGCGGCGACGCACATGGAGACTTGACGGGTCAACGCGCCGATCTCCGCGCGCGTCGCGCTCGCGTCGTACGCCATGTCGAACACGAGCCAGCACGGCGCGCCCTCTCTCGTCGTCGTCGTCGGCGGCGGCGCGAGCTCGATGGCGTCGCACTTCAGCGTCGGGCGCGACGTCGGGCACGCGGACGACGGCTGGATCCCGACGCACGCCGCCTGCCCGCAGCTGCGGCACCGGCGCGTCGCGCGCCCTTCGCCGTCGCCGCCGCCTCGCGGGGGTTCGAGCGCGCCGCGCGCGGAGAGCACGAGCGCGCCGGGGATCGCCGCGTCGTACGCGGCGGCGTGCGCGACGGCGTCGATGCCGTCGCCGTCGCCGTCGCCGTCGCCGTCGCCGTCGTCGTCGCGTCGCTTGCAGTAGAGCGAGATCTCGAACGCGTCGTCTCCTGCGCCCGCGGACGAAGCGGTGAGGATGAACAGCTTCGCGCCTCGGCGCTTCCGATGCCGGACGCGAAGACGCGCGACGTGGACGCGGCCGGACGTGGACGCGGCGGCGTCGAGGAGTTCCGCCGCGGACGCGAACGTCCGCGCGTCCATCGACGCCGCGCGCGCGGCGTCGCGTCCCTCTAAGTGCCGACATTAAATTCTCGGACGAACCCGTGACCTAACCCTCGAGCGAGGCTGTCATCATTCCCGCCGGCGCCGCCGCGCGCGGGAGACATGTCTCCCCCGCCCCCCCGCGGCCGCCCCCCGCCGCCGCCGTCGCGGCACCTCTACGTCGCGAACGTCGGCCCGAAGGTGGGCGACGCCGCGGAGGACGTCGCCGCGGCGTTCGCCGCGTTCGGGGAGGTGGCCGCCGTGCAGATTCGAGATCCGACGTCCGCGCGATGCGTCGTGAGCATGGCGACCGATGACGCCGCTCGCGACGCGATTCGCGCGCTGAACGACGCGCCGTGCGCCGCGCTCGGCGGCAGGAAGATCGTCGTGCGGTTCGCCGGCGAGAGCGCGGTCGCGACGATGGACGCGACGACGGACGCGACGACGGACGCGACGGACGCGACGACGACGACGACGAAGAAGAAGACGAACGCGATGACGCAAGAGGAGGCGTGGTGCGTCGCCGCGCGGACGTCCGACGACCTCGGCGTCCCCGGCGCTACCTTGATCCTCGACTTCGTGACCGAAGACGAAGAGGTCGCGATGCTGAAGAGCGCGGAGGAAGATCCGCGGTGGCAGCGCCTCGCGAAGCGGCGCGTGCTGCACTACGGCTACGCGTTCGATTACGGCACGCGAGACGCGAAGGCGCCCGCGGGCGCGGCGATGCCGTCGTACGCCGCCGCGCTGCTCGACCGCGCGGCGGCGTTGACCGACGTGCCGGGGGTCGAGCGCGCGTTGAGGTGCGATCAACTCACCGTGAACGAGTACGAGCCCGGGATCGGGCTCGCGCCGCACGTGGACACGCACAGCGCGTTCGGAGGGACCATCCTCGCGGCGAGCTGCGGCGGCGGCGCCGTGATCGAATTTCGTCTTCACGAGCGCGATGGCGACGGCGACGACGACGCGAGCCGTCGCGTGCCGTCGCGCCGCGCCGCGATCTACCTGCCCCCGAGGTCGCTGCTCGTCATGGCCGGCGAGGCGCGGTATCGATGGGCGCATTACGTCCCGCATCGCAAGCGCGACGCGGTGAAAAGATTCGGCGGCGACGGCGGCGGCGCGGCGACGGAGATCGCGCGGCGCGAGGGGAAGCGCGTGTCGTTCACGTTCCGGGAGACGCGCGACGTCGCGGTGGAGGGGCCGTGCGCGTGCGCGTGGCCGGAGGCGTGCGATTCGAGGATGGGCGCCGCGCAGCTTCTGAATGAACGCGCGAGACCGGGCGCGGTGGCCGCGGCGAGGCGGGCCGCGGAAGCCGCCGCCGCCTTCCGCGAGGTGGAAATCGTAGATTCTTAGATTCTTAGACCAGACTAGCTAGGGCGATAGCACGCATACGGTAGACTACACGAGCTTCGGAAACGTCGGGTCGACGTCCGCGCGCCATCGCTCCATGCCGCCGACGACGTCCAAGATCCGCACCATGTTTTCGGGGAGCTCCGGCTCTCCATATACCGTTCGCCCTTTCCTCCGCTCGTCGCGAAGCGTCGTGTACTCGTCGTAAATTTCGCGCGCGTACTTCTCCGCCGCTCGCTTCGACGCGATCCCTCGGCTGCACACGAACACGATCGTGGGTTTTTTGCGATCCCACGCGGCGTTCATCACATCCGGACGTTCGCACCATAAATTCGGGAAGACGTACTCGCTGACGTGTCTCGCCCCCGGAAGCGCGGCGGCGTCGTATAACCCGCGCGGGCGAACGTCCACGACGTCCAGCCCGCGACCCGTCGGTGTCGTCAACATCTCGCGCAGTTCCGTCGGCGTTATTCTCTCGAGATTGCGAGCGTAAAGCTCTCTTCCGTCTCCTTCTTCTCCTGCTTCTTTCTTCACCGCAGCGCACGCGTTGTTTCCGTTGATGAACGCGTCGTAATCGTACGTCTTCATCCAAGCGCCCCCCGATGACGTCCCGTCCGCGCCGCACGCGACGCAGTCCGCGCGTCGCTTTCGAAGTTTCACGTGAGTAAACATCGACCCGCCGCCGAACGCGTCGTACATCAATAAACGCCCCGCGAGCGTGCGTTCTCCACCTCCACGCCCGAGATGTTTCGTCAACACCTTGATGCACTCCGTCGCCTGGAGGACGCCCATCACCCCCGGGACGGGGCCGAGCACGCCGCTGCCCGCGCACGACGCGCAGTCCCTCGTCGCCGGCGGCGTGGGAAACACGCACCGGTAACACGGCGGAACCTCCTCCTCCTCCTCATCTAACGGAAGCGCCGCGACCGTTTCCTTTTCACTCGTGTTCGCGGCGACGCCGCCGACGCTCTTCGCGCTCGCGCGGCAGTACACCGTGAGCTGCCCTTCGGTCCCGACGGCGGCGGCGGCGACCAGCGGCACCCCCGCGGAGGCGCACGCGTCCGAGATCACGTACCTCGTCTTCACGTCGTCCGTGCAGTCGAGCACGACGTCGTGGCCGCGGACCAGGTCGAGCGCGTTCGCGGGCGCGAGCCGCGCCTCGACCGTCCGCACGTCGCATCGCGAGTTCATCGCGCGCAGGGTTGCGGCCGCGGAGGCGACCTTCGCGAGCCCGACCGCGGACTCGCGATGCGCGATCTGACGATGGATGTTCGACAGCTCGACGACGTCCGCGTCCGCGAGCGTGACGCTCCCGAGCCCGCTCGAGACGAGGTACATCGACGCGGGCGAGCCGAGGCCGCCGAGGCCGACGATCAGAACCCTTGCGCGATGCAGCGCCGCTTGCTTGAGCGCGCCGAAGGACGGGAGCGAGACGTGCCGCGCGTATCGCGACGCGTCCGCCGAGGAGAGCGCGCCCGTCCATCGCGCGGCGGGGGGTAAGGCGGCGTCGGCGTCGGCGTCGGCGGCGTCGGCGTCGGCCGACGACGACGACGTCCGGCGTCGCTTCGACGATGGCGCGGGCATGTCCGCGCGGCGCGCCGCGCGCGTCTCGCGTGTGGTTCGCTCGTCATCGATCGGCAGACGGCACGAGACGACGTGAACTACTACGACTCTTCGACGACGACTGGACGACGAAACCGAGGCGCCCTCTCGTCGCGCGGACAGTCGCCATGGCGCGCTCGAGGCCGTACACCTCGAAGCTGTGCGCGTGCTTCCTCGTCACCGTCCTCGTCGTCGTCCTGACGTGGTACGAGCGCGGCGGCGGCGCCGCGCTCGAGCTCGGCGCCGCGCGCGGGCCGTGGATCTCGTCGACCGCGACGAGGCCCGCCTCGTCGCTCGAAGCGACGGCGCAGCTCGCGGCGGTCGCGGCGACGGCGGATCGCGCGTGGAGCGGGCTCGTCGAGGAGGACGCGTCGCTGGGCGGCGCGGAAGAGGACGAGTCCGGCGGCGACGACGCCGCGACGACGGCGACGGCGACGGCGACGGCGAGAGCGACGTTCGACGCCGACGCCGACGTCCGTCGCGATCGCGCGGCGCGATCGGCCGACGCGGGGACGCCTTCGGCGCCGACCCCGCGCGAGGCCCCCGCGGCGGCGCCCGTCGCGAGCGTCGCGACGCCCGACGCGCCCGCGGCGACGACGTCCGACGCCGCGAGCTGCGACGCGCTGATAGACGGCTGGATCGAGACGCAGGAGCGGCGGCACGCGGCGCGCGTCGCCGCGAGAGACGCGGACGCGAATAGGACGAAGACGCAGACGAACGCGAACGATCCGTCCGACGACCTCCTCTTCTTCCTGCACGTCCCGCGCTCCGCCGGGCGGACGTTCCACTTCTGCTACCTCAAGTACGCGTTTCCTCCCAACGAGAGGTGCGACAAGTCCTATGACGAGCTCAGGGTGAACGTGGAGAACCCGGGGTGCCGCATGCTGGGCACGCACGACGATCACACGCTCGTGGAACGGCTGCGTCGACAGCCGCGTATGGTGACGATGTTACGCGACCCCGTGGAGCGTTTCCTCAGCGCGTACGAGTTCGCGGTCGAGGTCAGCGCGCGGTCGTTCGGGGACGAGACCACCGTCGCGAAGAATCGCGTCGCGACGCGAGACGTGTGGCCGTGGGAGCACTGCGTGAGGAGGATAGACGAGGACCTGCGCGCGTTTAAGCGTCGGACGAAGGCGGCGAACTTTACGAAACCGAGCGGCGGCGCGGACTGCTACGACAACTCGATATACACGCCGCTGCGCGATTTCGTGGACTTGGACATCGCGCACGACGACTTACACAACGGACAGTTCATGCAGCTGTTAGGGCTGACGAGCCAAGCGGACGCGACGCTGCAGCCGGACTACCGCGCGGTGCGAGGGTGTCTAAAACCCGGCGGCGAGGACGCCAACACGGCGAAGATGCTCGCGTTCGCGGAGAAACGGTTACGGGACGAGATGGACGCGACGGTCGTGCACGAGCGGTTAGACGACGCGCTGCGGTTCTCCTCCGCGGCGCTCGAGTTGCCCATGGCCGGGCCCGCGTACGACGGGAACAAAGAGGCTGGCGACGGGCGCGTGGGGGAGTTGAAAACAGCCGTCGCGTCCGCCAAACGCGGCGCGCGCGCGGGTGAAAACGTCGCCGGCTTCACGTTCAAGTTTCTGAAAGTCACGGACAAGCAGCTCGCGAACGACGCGTGGCGGGAGAAGTACGAGAAAGCGCTCGCGGCGCAGCTCGCGCGATACGTCGGCGTCGCCGCGACGTACGTGCGCCTGTTACCGCCGCTCGCCGCGGACGGGACCGAGGAACGCCCGCGTCCACGGCGGCCGCCGCCGGGAAAGCGTACCGGGGCGAACGGCACCGTCGCTAATAAGCCGCCGCCGCCGAGGTCGGCGCTCCAGGTGGCGCTCGTCAAGTACCCTTCGTCGTCGTCGTCGACCGCGACTAGCGCGAACGCGAGCGGTGGCGGCGCGACGGCGGGCGATAAGCTGAGGGAGCTCTTCGCGATGTTTGACGAGAATCCCGCGGACGTCTCCTCGACGATCGTGAACGCGTCGGACGGGTTCGGTCAATACGGCGCGCTGACCGCGCACGCGTGGGCGACGACGGATATGAGAGAGACGAACGGGCCCGGAAGAAACAACTTAACAGGGGACGTGACCGTGACGGTGACGCAGCGACGCCCCGTGAAGTCCGCGCTGACGCTCGGGTCGCGGTTCCGGAAGTGCGAGAGCGAAAACAGGGCCAAGTACGCGCGTCAAAAGAGGCGGGCGTTTGAAAAGTTGGCGCCCCACGTCGACGGCGTCTTCGATCCGTTCCGCAAGTCCGACCGCGCGCGGATCCCCGCGGAGACGCTGGCGAGGGTGAGGGCGCATAACTTCCTCGACGTGCGGTTGTGGGAGTACGCGACGAGGCTGTTCGAGGAGAGGATGGAGGAACGGCGGGAGGAGGTGGAGAGGGAGATTTTACCCCCGAAGCCGCCGCCGTCGCCGCCGGCGACGTCGCCGCCGCCGGCGCGGCCGAGACCGCCGCTGGGGCCGCCGAGAGCGACCGGCGCGAACGCGAACGCGACGACGACGACGACGACGACGACGACGACGACGACGACGACGACGAAGGATGCGCGGCAGAGACCGCCGCCGCGGCCGCGAAGAGCGACCGACGCGAACGCGAACGCGACGACGACGCCGACGCCGACGGCGCGGAAGATTCACGTCGGGATCGGCGAAAAGAGCGCGGCCGCGGTCGGAGCGTGATCATGCAGTACGAAATTAATTAGTTTTTCAACGCGATAACACGCCGCAGAGCTGCTCGTGCTGCCGCAGCGCCCACCGTCGGCCTTCCTCGTCCGCGCTCTCCGCCGTCGCCAGCTGTACCGCCGCCAGCTGTACCCCCGCCCCCGCCCCCGCTCCCGCCCCGACGCCCGCTCCCTCCTTCGCGGCGGCGGCGGCGTCGCCGCGACACATCCGCAACGCGAGCGCGCTCGTGTTGCTCCGCATCCCGACGAGGCAGTCCTCGAACGAGCCGTCCTTCACGTCGCGCCACTCCGTTCGCGTGTGGAGCCTTCTCGACGCGTTCTCGTCCTCCTCCTCCTCCTCTTCCTCCTCCTCCTCCTCCTCGCTCCGTTCCCTCCGAGACATCGTCTCCACGACCGTGACGCGCACGTCCGTGAGGACGTCTCCGACGCGCACGCCGCGCGAATGCGCGTTCCCGCTCTCGTGGACGCTCTGAACGACCGGTCGACCGTCCACCCCGGGCGCGAGCGTGATCCCCGTGGACGCGACGCCAGCGGTGACGTCTAAGACCACCTCGTAGCAACCCGGCTCGAGCGCGAACGTCGCGTCTTCGTCGTCGTCTTCGTCTTCGTCTTCGCTCGCGGCGACCGCGTCCTCCTCCGCGACGACGACGGACGATGGCGGCGGCTCGTCGAACGACCCGGAGCCGCTCCCCGCGCGCACTTCGTAGAAGACGCCGTCCGCGTCCGCGGCGGTGAACAAAAGATCTCCGTCGACCTCCGCGGCGTCGTCGAAGCGAAACACGCCGCCGCCGTCGTCGTCCTCGTCGAAGCTGACCGTCGTCGCGGGGGACGTTTTCGTCGTCGCGAGCGCGGGCGCGCCGGCGCGCGTCGCGACGCGTCGTCGCGTCGCGGGAACGCGCCGTCGCGACGGCGCGTTCGCGCGAACGACGACGACGACGGCGGCGGCCGCGCCGTGACGACATGACGTGGAAATCATCATCTTGTAAGTCTATCCGTCCGCCGTCGCGGACCGTTCGCCCTCTGCCGCGCCGCGACCGTCGCGTTCGCACGCCGACGCGCTCTCACGCGCGCGCGCTCGCGTCCCGCGCCGTGCGCGTCTCCCCTCGAGTCCGCGCGCGATGCGAGTGCGAAGGCGTCGCCGCTCCGCTCTCGCGCTGATCTGACTGTACCCGCGTTCGGGAGCGCTTTCGACCGACCGCGGGAATCGCCGAACTCGCGGCCTGCCCATGCCCACACACCGAACAGAACGCCGGCGCGCGCGATGGACGCCGGGACGGATGCGGATGCGGACGGATGGAGCGACTTCGGGCAGAAGGTCGACCTCACCGCGCGCCTCAGGGAGATCCTCTTGAACTACCCGGAGGGGACGTCCATACTCAAGGAGCTCGTCCAGAACGCGGTGCGCGCGCGGCCGGGTGCCCATGTCCAGTCGTTGTTGCGCGAGGGCAGGCAGATTTGAGCGATCTCGTCCTCCTCCTCCTCCTCCTCCATCCACCTCCTCCTCCTCCTCCTCCTCTCACCGCCGCCCTCCTCCCTCCGTCTTCCATCGTCGTCGCAGGACGACGCGGGCGCGACGGTCGTTAAAGTATGCCTCGACGCGCGGTCGCACGGCACGTCCACGCTCGTCTCCCCCGCGCTCGCGCCGTTCCAGGGCCCCGCTCTGCTCGTGCACAACGACAGCGTCTTCGCGGAGGCGGACTTCGTCTCCATCTCGCGCGTCGGCGACAGCGTGAAGCGAACGCAAGTGGGCAAGACGGGGCGGTTCGGCGTCGGGTTCAACAGCGTGTATCACCTCACGGACGTCCCGTCGTTCGTGTCGGGGCGGCACGTCGTCTTCTTCGATCCGCACGCGTGCCACCTCCCCAACGCGGACGCGGCGAACCCGGGGAAACGCGTCGACTTCGTCGGCGGCGGCGGCGACGTCACGCGGACGCACGCGGATCAGTTCGCGCCGTTCATCGCGTTCGGGTGCGACGCGCGGACGGAGTATCGAGGGACGACGTTTCGGTTCCCGTTGCGGACCGCGAAGCAGGCCGCGGTGTCGAAGCTTTCCAAGGCGTCGTACGACGTCGCGAGCGTGCGGAAGCTTCTCGCGGACTTCGCGGGGGAAAAGACGCTAGACCTGCTGTATTTGAAAAGTGTGGAACGGATCGACGTGTTAGAGTGGCGCCCGGGCGCGATGGAGCCCGAAGTCATCGCGTCCACGCGCGTGATGAACGCGAGCGACGAGTTGCGGAGACATCGCGCGGCGTTCAGTCGCGCGTCCGCGGCGATGGCGGCGGGCGGCGCGGTGGAGCCGCCGTCGACGTTTACGCTCGAGTTCACGTCGACGGGCGTCGGCGCGAAGCGCGGCGAGGACGTCCGCACGTTCTTCGTGTCGCAAGCGTGCGGCGTAGACTTAAAACCGCTCGTGAAGAGCGGGCGGGAGAAGTTCGGGATGAAACTCGTGCCGTGGGCCGCCGTCGCCGCGGAGCTCACCCCTCGCGAAGAAGAAGAAGAAGACGAAGAAGAAGAAGAAAACGGCGGCGATCGAAAGCACGCCGTCGCCGTCGCCGACGGCCGCGCGTTCACGTTCCTCCCGCTCCCGGTGAAGACCGGACTCCCCGTGCACGTGAACGCGTACTTCGAACTCAGCAGCAACCGCAGGGACATTTGGTTCGGAGGCGACATGTCCGGCGGCGGCGCGGCGCGAAGCGAGTGGAACCAAGCCCTGCTCGAACGCGTCGTCGCGCCGGCGTACGCCCGGCTCGTCGCGATCGCCGCCGCGACGCTCGGCCCCGGCCCGAGGTTCTACGACTTGCTCCCGCGCGCGACACCGCCGCCGCCGTGGCGCGTCGTCGTCTCGACGCTGTGCGTCGCCCTCGCTGACGAGAAGGTGATACACACGCGCGCGCTGGGGGGGAAGTGGATCACGCCGCGGGAGGCGACGTATCCGGACGCGGAGCTCGAGACGAACGTCGACTTACGACTCGCACTCGTGGACGAGGGCGTCCTCGTCGCGGACGCGCCCGCCGCGATATTAGATCGATTCGAGGAGCACGCGATCGCGGACCCGACGCGGGCGTCGCCGAACGGCGCGCGGCGGATGCTACGCGAAAAGGGCCCGACGACGCGACCGCGCGCGAGGGTCCTGACGCTCTTGCGGTACGTCCTCTCGGACGTCGTCGACGACGACCCGACCTCCGCGGCGTGCCTGGAGGGCGTCCCGCTCGCGCCGCTCGCGGACGGCGGCGCGGGGATGATCACGCCCGGCGGCGTCGGCTCGCCCGCGTTGTACGTGCCCACGGAGGAGGAGACTCATTTGCTGACGCGCGCGACGGACGTCTGCGTCGACCGAGACGCGGACGCGGCGTTGACGTCCCGGATGGAGACGCTGGCGGCCACGGGGGCGCTGAACTTCGCGCGCGTGGACGACGACGCGCTGCTCGCGCTGATGCCGCGGATCGTCCCGCCCGCGTGGGGGTTGAAATCGAATCGACGCGCTCGATGGACGCCGGGGGAAAACGGCGACCCGTCCGAGGAGCTCCTGTCGCGGCTGTGGAGACGCCTCGCCGCGGTGCGCGCGGGACGTCTCGCGAAGTTCGAGCGATGGACGATGCTCCCGGTCGTGGGGTCCTCGGACGACGACGACGCCGACGCCGCGCGCGCGCTCGCGCCCCTCGGCGCCGCGGTCGTGACGCCGCGCGGGCTGAGCGCCGACGCAGTGGACGCGCTCGGTCGCGCCGACGTGCACGTCCTCGACGCGTCCTCCGTCGCCGGCGCCGCCGCCGCCGCGCATCCGGACGTCGGCGCGTTCGCGATGCCCTCCTCCGGCGCGGGCCTCCTCGACGCGCTCGCGGCGGCGCGGTCGGGAGGCACGGGGACGGGGCCCGGGGGCGTCGAGTTTTCGCGTCGAGACGCCGCGGCGCTGCGGAGCGCGCTGTTACAGCGGAGGTGGTTCGGGCAACGCGCGAGGGCGGGGCCGGAAGGCGACGCGGGGACGCCGTCGAGGATCGCGACGCTTCGCGGGTTGCGGATATTCGAGGTGTATCCGGCGACGGCGGCGGCGACGTCGTCGACGGGCGCCGCGGAAGAGGAGGAAGAAGAGGAAGGAGAAGAAGGAGAAGAAGGGGAAGGGGGCGCGACGCGCGACGGGCGCGTCGGCGACCTCCTGTCCCTGGACGAAGACGCCGGCCCGTCGCTGCGACTCGCGCCGCGGAACGTCGCCGCCGCGCTCTTGACGCCGACGTTTTTGCGCCCCGACGACGACGAAGAGTCCGCGGTGCTGGAGACGAACCTCTCCGTCGACCGACTCACGATGCCCGCGTTCATACGCGGCCACTTCCTGACGCGCCTGCGCGAGATCCCCGCGCGCGCGAGGAACCGGTTCGCGCTCGAGGCGACGCGGTCGCTGCCGTCGCTCGCGCTCATCGATCGCGGCGTCGCCGACGCGCTCGCGCGCGCGCCGTTCGTGCCCACGCCGTCCGGGCAACTCGCGGCGCCGATGCATCTGTACGACCCCAGGGTGCACGAGCTCGTCGAGCTGCTCGACGCGTCCGCGAGCTTCCCGTCGGCGCCGTTCGACGACGACGCGGCGTTGGACGGGCTCCATCGGCTCGGTCTCCGGACGACGGTGACGCGGGCGGCGGTGCTCGACGCCGCGATGGCGGCGGAGCGTCTGCTCGAGGAGGGCGACGGCGACGGCGCCGCGGCGCGAGGCGCCGCGGTGCTGCGGTATTTAGAAACGCCCGACGGCGCGCGGTTACTCGCGCCGGAAACGAACGCGGCCCCCGGCGCGAAAGTGAAGAAGATGTTCGGGAAGGTTTTCGGCGGCAAGAGCGCGACCAAGGAAGGAGGAAAGCACGCGGCCCTTGGGTCGGAATCCGCGGCGGGCGACGCGCTCGCGGCGAGCGCGCCGCCGGAGCTCCCTCGAGACGCGTTCGTCGCCGCGCTCTCCTCCATCGCGTGGGTCCCCGTCGCGACGACGCCGCTGTCGCCCCGCGAGCACCCCGGGCTCCCGTGGCCGTCGGACCCCCCCGCGACGGCGCCGCCGCGGTCGACGCGGCCGCCGTCCGACGCGTGGCTGTGCAGCGCCTCCATGCGCGTGCTGACGCGCGAGCCGCAGTCCGCGTCGCTCGCGGACGCGCTCGGATGGCGCGCGCCGCTGTCGCCGGCGGTGCTCGCGGACCAGCTGTGCGCGCTCGGGGAGGCGCACGCGGTCGTCGCCGACGCCGCCGTCGGACGCGCGCTCGCGGCGGCGGTGCCGCGCGTGTACGCGTTGATGACGGCTGCGCTGAACCACGCCGACTTCGCCGCCGCGGAGCGAAAGGCGCGGACGCGCGCCGTCGTGTGGGTCGGCACCGGGTTCGCGCGCGTGGACGCGGTCGCGTTTGCGGGCGCGCTGGACCTCGCGCCGTACTTGCACGTCCTGCCCGCGGACTTGACGTGCTTCCGTCCGCTGCTCACGGCGCTCGGCGTGCGAGACGCGTTCGCGCCGCGCGATTACGTCGGGCTTCTTCGCCGGCTCGCGCTCGACCGCGGCGCGACGCCGCTCGACGCGCGCGCGCTCGACCTCAGCCTCTGGGTCCTCGGCGTCCTCGCGGACCGCCCGCACGCGCAGTGGACGGGCGAGATCGAGCGCGACGGCGCGTTGCCCGTCCCAGACGTCGGCGGCGTGCTGCGCGGCGCGGACGACGTGCGCTTCAACGACGCGCCCTGGTTGCACGCGCCCGAGGGCGTGACGCTGTCGCACCCGAAACTCCCGTCCTCCACCGCGGAGGCGGTGGGCGTGCGGTCGCTCCGGTTAGCGCTGCTCGCGGAGAGTTCTGAGGACATCGGCGTGCACTTGCACGGCACCGCGCAGGCGTTTGGGCAATCCGAAGCGCTCACGACGCGTCTGAAGCACATTTTGGACGCGTACGCCGACGGGCCGGGGGTCATCTCCGAGCTCGTGCAAAACGCGGACGACGCGGGCGCGTCCGAGGTGCGTCTGATGCTCGACATGCGGACGGGCGGGAGCAAGTCTCTGCTCGCGCCGAAGCTCGAGCGGTGGCAGGGCCCCGCGCTCGTGGCGTGGAACGACGCGGTGTTCTCGCCGGCGGACTTTCATAACATCGCGCGCATCGGTCAAGATTCGAAGGTGGACCGCCCCGCCGCGGCCGGGCGGTTCGGTCTCGGGTTTAACGCGATCTATCACTTCACGGACCTGCCGTCGTTCGTGTCCGGGGAGTATCTCGTGATGTTCGACCCGCACGCGACGCACTTGCCGGGCGCGACGGCCGCGCGGCCGGGTCTGAAAATCGCGTTCGCGGACTCGCCGTTGCTTCGACAATTCCCGGATCAGTTTTCCACGTATCGCGGGCACTTCGGATGCGACCTTTCCAAAGCGTACGACGCGACGTTGTTCCGGTTCCCGCTGCGCACGGAGACGGCGGCGAAGTCGTCGGAGATTAAACCGGAGGCGTACACCGTGGACGCCGTCCTCGCGCTGTTCGAGCAGTTCCGATCGCGCGCGGCGCAGACGTTGCTGTTTCTGAAAAACGTTCGTAAGATTAGCGTGTACGAACGCGACGCGGACGCCGACGAGCCGACGTTGCTGTACGAGGCGAGCATCCCGTCGTTCCAGGACGGGAAGGACCCTCGCGCGACCGTGCTGCAGTGGGTCGCGGGTGACGTGTCGCTCGGTCGTGACGACACGTCAGCGTCACGCGCGACCGTCGCGACGTCCGCGGTGAAGAAGAGCGCGTTCGCGGACAAACTTCGCGCGATGCCCGAGAGCTCGTTGCCTTCGAGCGTGGGGTGGATGGACCTCGTCGTGCGACAACGCCAACGCGGCGGGTCGCTTTGCGACAGTAAAGAGCGGTGGATGGTGAGCAGCTCGCTCGCGGGCGGACGCGCGCGCGCGCTCGCGTTGTCCGAAGCGGGCGTGACGCGCGGGCTAGTCCCGTGGGTCGGCGTCGCCGCGAGGGTGCCGCATCCGGAGACGTCGGACGACGCCACGTCATCGGAAACGGTCGATGGGCGCGCGTTTTGTTTCCTCCCGCTCCCGGTGAAGACCGGACTCCCTGTGCACGTGAACGCGTACTTCGAACTCAGCAGCAACCGGAGAGACATATGGTTCGGCGGCGACATGTCCGGCGGAGGCGCGGCGCGGAGCGAGTGGAACGGCGCGCTCCTCGCGGACGCCGTCGCCCCCGCGTACGCGTCGCTCATCGCCGCCGCGGCGACGTCCCTCGGCCCGCGCGCGGCGTACTACTCGCTCTTCCCGACGAACACATCGCTTCCGCAGCCGTGGTCGCTCGTGCTCTCGCCGTTGTTCGCGGCCTTGAGCGGGCTCCCGTGCGTGCGCGCGATCGACCCGACCGCGGACGCGCGCCTCCTCGCGTCGTCGTCGTCGTCGTCGTGGGTCGCGCCGCGCGCCGCGTTCTTCCCGGACCCCTCCGTCGAGACCCCTCCCGATCTCGCGGCGGCGCTGCGCGCGGTGGGCGTGCGGCTGATCGACGGCGCGCCCGCGGACGTGAGCGCGGCGTTCGCGACGCATTGTCCGAGCGTCGCGCGTCGGATGTCCCCGGCGGCGGCGCGCGCGATTTTGAAGGATGCGAAATCGATGAGACGGCACCCGGCGCTGGACGACTCGGCGCACGTCGTCGCGCTGCTGCGATACTGCGTGAGCGACGTCGACGCGAGCGACGCGGCGACCGCGGCGGACCTGGACGGCGTGCCGCTGATTCCGCTCGCGAACGGCGCGCGCGGCGCGTTCGCGGCGCGCGGCGGCGTTCGCGGCGGCGACGACGACGCGGAGGAAGAAGGAGGACGAAGCGAGACGTATTATTTCATGCCGCGCGCGTCCGAGATGTCGCTGTTGCGTCCTCGCGCGTCGGACGTGCTCGTCGACCGCGACGTCCTCGGCGAATCGCTCGCGCGCGCGCTGACCGACATCGTCGCCGGCGCGACGGGGAAGGCGCTGAACGTGCGCGCGATCGACGCGCCCTCGCTGCAGTACTTGATGCCGAAGATCCTCCCCCCGGAATGGCGCGGCGGCGGCGGCGGCGGCGGCGGCGGCGTCGCGTGGAACGCCGACGGGTCAGACGGGCACCCCACCGCGTCGACCCTCGCGCTTCTGTGGACGCGGTTCGCCGCGATCAGCCCGAAATCGCTCGCGCACTTCGAAGGGTGGCCGCTGCTCCCCGTCGGCGGCGGCTGCGCGCGCGGCGGCGCGAGGCTCGCGACGCTGACGCCGCACGGTCCGTTGGTCCGCGGCGAGGGATGGACGGATTCGGGAAGAGACGCGCTGGACGCGCTCGGCGTCTCGCAGCTCGCGGAGGGCGAGGTCTCCGACGCGGCGACGACGCACCCGGCGATCACGGCGTACGTCCGGCCCGCGTCCGCGTCCGGGGTGTTGGACGCCGCGGTCGCGGCGGCGGCGTTGGACCCGGAGACGCGCGCGGCGCGCGCGAACGACGACGGGTCGCCGCCGACGGCGGAGCAACGATGGCGCGCGGCGGCGAGCGCGGTGCCCGCGCGCTTAGACGCGAGCGCGGACGCGGCCGCGCGGCGGGCACTTCGCGCGTTTCTGATGCAGAGGCGGTGGTACGCGCGCGACGCGGTCGGGGGCAAGGTTGAAGGCGCGCGGCTCGACCTCGTGCGATCGCTGCCCATCTTCGAGACGCGCGGAGAGAACGAAAAGACGAACGAGATCTCGGCGTCGGCCGCGTCCGCGTCCGCGTCCGCGTCTTCGTCATCCGTCGTCGCGACGGCGTTCGCGCGCTTGGACGCGACGCCGCCGCCGCTCCTCGCGCCTGCCGGCGCGAACGTCTCGCTGCTCACTTCGAGTTTCCTCAAGGTGGACGACGACGCCGCCGCGGATCTCTTGGAGACGTCGCTCGGCGCGCCGCGCGCGACGGTCGCGACGACGTTCGCGGAGCACGTCCTCCCCGCGCTCGCGTTGCGCCGTCTCCCTCCCTCGCTCGCGCGCGACGCCCTCGACGCCGCGCTCGACGCGCTCGCGCGTTCGAAGGCGTCGTGGACCGGCGGCGGCGACGCGGACGCGCTCGTTCGCGCGCTGCGCTCGTGCGCGTGCGTCCCCACGCGGAGCGGCGCGTTGGCGAAACCGGGCGCGCTCTTCGACGCGGAAAACTCGCCGTCGCTTCTCGCGCTGCTCGACCCCGCCGCGCACTTCGCGGCGCCGCCGTTCGACTCCGGCGAGCGCGCGGCGGCGCTCAGGGCGCTCGGCGTGCGCGCCAGTCTCGGCGCGGAAGGGTTGGTGCACAGCGCGAGGTCCGTGGAGCGACTGGCGGCGACCGCGGCGACGACGCCGGCGGCGATCGCGCGCGGCGCCGCGCTCCTCGCGCACCTGAACGCGCTCGCGAGGGCGACCGCGGCGGGCGGGACGGACCTTCCCCCGGCCGGGGCGATGCTCGAGTCCGAGTCAGGGTCCGACGGGTCCGCGACCCCCGCGCGGTCGTTGTGGAGGGAGCTCGGGTCGATATCGTGGTGCGTCGTGATGACGTCGCCGCCGCACCCGTCGCTGCCGTGGCCGAACCGAGACGACGGAGGGAAAAAAGCGATGCGCGCGCTGGCGCCGCCGCGCGCGACGCGGCCGCCGGATGACGCGTGGCTCGCGTCGTCGTGCATGCGCATCTTGGACCTCTCGCTCGCGCTCGGAGTTGAGGACGACGAGGACGTCGTCGTCGAAGAGGCGACGGAGGCGGCGGCGGCGCCGCCGACGCCGACGCCGGCGGGTCTCACGCTCGCAGTGTCGCCGGAGGAGTCCTTCTCGAGAACCGACGATGGACGCGCGACCGCCGGGAGCGTGCGGGAAGGCGTCTCATCAGTCTCGCCGCCGACGCCGACGCTCGAGCCGCTGCTCGTCGATCGCCTCGGGTGGAACGCGCTCAGCGCGACCGTCGTCGCGGCGCAGCTCCTGGAGCTCGGAAAGGCGCACGCGATCGTCGACCGCGACTCGGAGCTCGCGAGAGAGTTCAACGCGCGGCTGCCGCGCGCGTACGCCCAGCTCGCCGCCGCCGCCGGCGTCGGCTCGGAATCTTCGTCCTCCGAGCTCGAGGCCGCGGCGACGATCCTCGACAGCGCGCGGTGGCTCTGGCACGGCGGCGGGTTCGCGGCGTCGGTCGACGTCGCGATCGACTGCCCCGGCGACTTCCGGCCGTACCTCCACGGCGTCCCGTACGAGCTCTCCTCGCACGTTGGGTTGTTGAGAGCGCTCGGCGTCCGCGGGAGATTCGACGCGGCGGATTACGCGCGCGCGGCCAGGGCGGTCGCGGACGACGCGAACGGCGCCGCGCTGAGCGAAGAGCGCGTCGCGCTCGCCGTCGCGCTCGCGGAAGCCGCCGCGGAGTCGCTTCTCGCGCCGCCGGACGACGCGGAGGGCGACGGCGGGGATGGAGATCCGTACCCTTCGCCCCCCGACGTCGCGGCGGCGGCGAAGGCGAAGGCGAAGACGATGCCCTCCTCCGCGGTGGTGGGAACGTTCATGCTCCCGGACGGCGCGGGGGTGATGGCCCCGGCGAGCGCGCTCGTGCACAACGACGCGGAGTGGCTCCTCGGCGGCGGCGACGCCGCCGACGACGACGACGACGACGACGCGAAGACTCGCGCGTCCTCCGGCGGCGTGGACGTCTCCGCGTTGCGTCTGACGCACCCCTCCGTCCCGTGCGCGATCGCGGAGGCGCTCGGCGCGCGGTCGCTGCGCGCGCTCTACGCCGTGGATAAGTCCTCGACGGACCGGCTCCCGTGCCCTTCCGCGGCGACGCTCAGGAGGCTCCTTCCCGCGTACGACGACCGCGCGCACGCGTTCAGCGACGTCGCGGAGGTGGCGGACGTCGTCTGCGCGCGCGGGTTGGAAATTTCGCTCGATCTGAAGACGTACAAATCGCGGTCGCTGCTCTTGCCGCAGCTCGCGCAGTTCCAAGGCCCCGCGGTGACGATTCGTCTCCCCGGCGTGAGCCTCGCCGCGGACGAGATCGCGACGCTGTTGACCGCGGCCGCGCCGTTCAAGCTCAGGAAGCGCGCGATTCGGTTCGGGAACGGGTTCGTCTCGTGCGTGCACTTTTCCGACGTGTTCACCGCGGCGACCGCGGGACAGCTGTGCGTGTTCGACCCGACCGGCGTCGCGCTCGGCGGCGGCGGCGGGGGATCGTCGGGGGCGAAGAGAGACGAGCGCGCCGCCGGCGGCAGCGCGAAGGCGTACTCCTACGGCGCGAACGGCGAGCTCGCGGCGCGGTTCGCGGATCAGTTCGCGCCTTTCGTCGCCGCGGGCTTGGACCCGAGTCGCGGCTCCGGGCTCGCCGCGGACTCGATCGGGACCGTGATTCGTGTGCCGCTGCGGACGAGGGCGCAGGCGGCGCGCGCGTCCGCGCTGAGCTCGAGGGCGTTCGACGTCGACGACGCGTGGGAGGTGCGATCGATGCTCGAGACGTTCGCCGCGAGCGCGCACAAGGTGCTGCTCTTCGCCGCGTCGTTATCGCACGTCAGAGTCACCGTGCGGAACGCCCCGAGGGAGGACGACGCGGCGAGGGCGACGACGCGCGACCTCGACGGCGCGATGAAAAACGCCGACGCGAACGAAGACGTGCTCGTGCACGCGAGCCTCTCCACGACGACGCCGTTCAAGCGCGCGTCGTCGACGTCGTCGTCGAGCGTCTCGGCGAACGCCGCGGGAGGGTTCTCTCAGAGCGGCGAGCGCGCGACGACGCCGAGGAACATCGTGGACGACAAAGAGTGGCGCCGAGCGACGCTCACGACGCTCTTCGGCGGCGGGAACGCGACGCGAACGGCGCACGCGGTGGTCGTGAAGGAAATCGCGGGGGACTCCCCGCTCGTGACGGACACCTGGGTCGTCGGCGCGGCCATGGGCGTGGGACGCGCGCGCGACATGGCGCTCGACAGGAAACACGCGCACATGATGTTTCTTCCTCTCGCGGCCGTCGCCGCGCACGTCCGGAGGGACGGCGCGGACGTCGACCCGTCGGCGCCGCCGCCGCCGCCGTCGGCGGCGCGGCTGGCCGCGTCAGCCGCGCGATGCCGCGCGGACGGTCGGCGCGAGCCCGTCGTCCCGCGCGTCGGCGGCGGGTTGTGCGCGCCGTTCCCGATGGAGGAACGGCGCGGGGGTGACGGCGACGGCGACGGCGACGCGATGGAGCGCGCGCTGCGGCGAGCGCCCGCGGTGATCGCCGCGCGGTTCGCGCTCGAACGCGGCGGCGGGCGATCGCTCGCGCGCTTCACGGAAAAAACTCCGCGCGCGCCGTCCTCCCCCTCCTCCCCCGGGACGCATTACGCGTCCACGACGGGGTCGTCCGAGCACGTGCGAAGAGAGTGGAACCGCGCGATGTGCCAGTGCGTCGTCGCCGCGTACGCGACGATGGTGCAGCACGCGCGGACCGCGTCGCCGACGCTCCCGGCGAAGACGTTTTACGGCTTGTGGCCGCGCGCGGAGAGCATGGGTCTCCCGGCGCCGCCGGCGCTGAGATCGGACGGGCGGCCGATTCAAACCGCGGCGGCGGCGCGCGGGAACCAAACAAAAACCCACCCCGCGCTCGAGCTCGTCGTGTACCCGCTGTACCGCGAGCTCGCGGACGTCGCGCTGTTCCGCAGTTTAGGGAGCGCCGCGCTCGTCAAGCCCGCGGACGGGTATTTTCTCCCAGCCGGATTCGCGCCCGCGGCGGACGGCGACGCGTCCGCGTCCGCGTCGACGTGGTCGGGCGGGTTCGGCGACGGCGTCGCGCGGCCGCTCGCGGCGTCGTTCATCGCGCGGCATTTCCCCGTGTTGGACGCGCCGGCGTCGTTGCGGCCGGAGCTCGCCGCGGCGGGCGCGTGCGCGGCGGCGAAGGAGCTCACCGCGTCGTCGCTCCGAAAGTTGCTCAAGTCGAAACCGCCGCCGGACACGTCAACCGGGGGCGCCAACCTGGAAGCGCTGCGGACGCACGTCGAGCTCATCGAGTGCGCGACGTCGGACGTCGTCGTCGCGGACGGCGCGGGAACCTCGGGGACCCCGGAAGACGGCGACGCCGGGGGCGCGCGAGTCCACGTCCAACAAGACAGCCTCTCCGGCGTGCTCTCCGCGATGTCCTCCGCGGGGTTCCCTCTGAACGAGTGGCTCGACGCCGCGGGGCTCGGCGGCTCGGGAGGCGGCTCGGGAGGCGGCTCGCGCGCCGACGCCCGCGCGCCGCCGTCGGTCGCGGTCCTGAACCTCGCCGCGGTGCGCGATCTGTCCGGCGTCCCCGTTCCCGTCGCGGGCGGCGGCGCGTCGTCGCTCGGGACGTCGCCGCTGTGGCTCGGCTCCGAGGACGTCGTCTCGCTCGTCCCGCGCCTCGCCCCCAAGTTCGTCTCCCCGACGCTGTCGGGAGGCTCGCGCGCGCTCGCGGCGCTGTTCTCACACCCGCAGTTCAGGCGCGTTCTATACACTGGTTCCAATACGACCGCGTCGGCGTGGTGAACGCCGATCCTTAAGGACTTTTGCCGGCGCATCTCTCCGCCCACCCCTCGCTTTCAATCCCCGACCTCGACGCATTTCAACTCCAACTGACGCCTATGAACTCCACCCCGACATCGCTTCGTATGGAACGACCCTCAGCGCGGAGCTGCGCGTGACGCGTTTCACCGCGCATCAACTCGCGGCGGAGCTCCCGAACGCGTTGCCGCCGCGTCTGTCGCCCGCCGCGTGCGCGCGACAACCGCTCGTGACGTGGCCGTCCTCGTCCGTCGGCGCTCCCGCCGGGGCTGGCGCCGGCGCCGGGAGAGACGCGCTCGCGGGGGATGAGATGCAGCCGAGCGCGAGATGGATGCGCGCGTTCTGGCGGGAGGTGGCGCGCATGGACGAGGAGAACCCCGGCGCGATCGACGCGTTCGCGTCGTGGCCGCTCGTCCCCGTGCTCGGCGGCGAGCTCGTGCGAGTAGGGCACAGAGCCGCGGTCGTCGCGCCACCCGCGGGGGCGGTGGGGGCGCCGAGTCTGCGTCGAGCGCGAGCGCGCGCGGACGATGCGGCGCTCGGGTTGACGTCGCCGCAGTTCCCAGCGCACCCGCTGTCCGACGACGACGACGACGCCGACGACGACGACGCCGACGACGACGACGCGCGTCGACCGGGCACGTTCGCGTCGCTCTTAATCGCGGACGCTGCGAGAGAGAGGCGGGCGCGGTTAGGCCCGGGCGGCGCGAGCGCCGCCGCGCCGCAACCGCTCCTGGAGCAGTGGGACTGGCTCGCGCCGCTTCTGCGCGACATCGGCGCGCCGACGCTGGACGTCGCCGCCGCGGGCGAGGCTGCCGCGAGAGCCGTCGACGCCGCGCGCCCCGCCGCGCCCACCGCGGCGCTGCGCACCGCCGCCGACGTCGTCGCGTTTAAGGCGCAGCAAATCAAATCGTGCCTCGGCGGCGGGCGACCGTCGTTCGCGTCCGTGACGGACGCGCAGCGCGAGCGCTTATTCCAACTCTTCGCGTCGCAGCACGCGTCCTCCGGGTTTGCCGCGTCCGGCGAGGGTCTGGAGACGATGCGTTCGCTGCCGATGTTCACCGCGGCAAACGGCGAAAAGGTTGACGTCGCGTCCGGGGAGTACGTCACGTGCCCGCCGGGCGTCGCGTTCGCGGAGACCCTGTCGCGGTTCGGCGGCGTGCTCGAACACAGAGCGTCGTCTCGGGATCTGTACGCCGCGCTCGGGGTTCCCGAGCTGTCGGACGCGGACGTCCTCGCGCGGTTCGTCGCGCCGTCGTTGCGAGACATGGCCCCGGAGGCGCGTCGAGACGCGCTGGCGTACGTCCGGAAGCACTGGCATCGGCTGAGGGACGACGACCCGCTGTGTCGCGCGTTGGGCGCCGCGAAGTTCGTGGACGTCCTCCGCGACGACGGTGGCGAAGGCGACGACGACGGCGGCGACGACGACGACGGCGTCGAGCTGAAATCGCCCGGGGAGCTGTACGACCCGGAGGTTGAGCTTCTCGCCGCGGTGTTCCGCGGGCAGAGCGGGTGCTTCCCGTCGCGGAAGTGGTCGACGCGCGCGTGGCTGCCGATGCTTCGCGACGTCGGTCTGCGGTCCGCGGTGGACGCGACGCTGTTCCAGCTGTGCGCGACGCGCGTCGCCGCGCGGGCGATAAGCCTCGGGATCGCGCACCCGCGGTCGCGGCACGGCGACGGCGACGGCGAGCTCGGTCCGGGAAGACGGAAGCGTTTCGTTCCGCCGCCGCCGCCGCCGCCGCCGCCGCCGCCGGAGCTCGCCGCCGCGGTCGACCCGCCGTCCTCCGCGGACGCCCCCTCGCCGCTCGTCACGACGATCGACGATGACGAAGAGCTCGAAGACGCGCGCGCGAGCTCCGAGAGAGAAGCCGGCCTCGTCATCGCCGCGGGCGCGATGCTCGCGTCGCATCTCTCGAAGCACGCGGCGGACCTGTACAACGCGCCAAACGGCTGCGAGGTGCGTTCTATACACTGGTCCCCATACGACCGCGTTGGCGTGGTGAACGCCGTTTCTTAAGGACTTTTCCCGGCGTGTCTCTCCGCCCATCCATCGCTTTCAACGCCCGCCCTCGGCGCCTTTCAACGCCATCTGACGCCTTTCAACTCCACCCCGATATTCGCTCGTATGGAACGACCCTGAGGCGCTCATCGACGTCCCGTTCGTCCCCGCGCGCCTCGGCTACCCCGGCGCCCCGGGGCCCGGCGCGGCCGGGTGCAACGTCCTGTGCGCGTACAACGACGCGACGCCGCCGGACGCGTGGCGGCTGTCGTTCGCGTGCCGGCCGACGATCCCCGACGCGTTCGCGCCGCCGTCGTACGCGATGCATAAGTTACGCATGAAATCCCGGCCGGGCGTCGCCGTCGTCGTCGAGCACTTGCTCGCGCTGGGCGCGGCCCCGCGCGACGGCGGCGGCGCCGCGGCGTTCACGACGCGGTGGACGGCGTGCGCGGGCGAGGGGCCCGCGGAGGTCGTCTCCGTCGCGATCGAGGAGCTCGCGCGGCACTTCGACGCGCTCGAGTCCAGGGATGTCGCGGCGTTGAGACGCGCGGCGTTCATACCCGTCGGCGGCGGCGTCGCCGCGGAGTCGCCGTGCCGCGTGTTTCTTCGCTCGAACGCCGCGCTCGCGCCGCTCGCGCACGAGCTTCCGGCGACGCTCGCGCAACACGCGGGGGTGTTGCGGAAACTCGGGATCAGAGAGCAGCTCTCTCGCGCGGACGCGCGAGGGGTGTTGCGAGACGCCGCCGCGAACGCGCGAGGACGCGCGTTGGGGCCGAACGAACTCCGCGCCGCCGTCGCCGCGCTTCGTCTCGCGACCGGCGCCGGGGACGACGACGACGACGACGACGACGATCGCGCGGGTCGAACGACCCTGTGCCCACCCCCCGCGGACGATCTTCCCACCCCGGACGCGTTCGGCGTGCTCGCGCCGGCGTCTTCGCTGCTGCACGCGTGGCGCGCGGATCGCGCGACGCTCTCGAGGGTGGATCGAACGAAAGTGCGTCTATCGCATCCGCTCGTTCCCGCGTCCGTGTGCGTCGCCGCGGGCATACGCGCCGCCGCGGACGCGGTGTGCGAGGTGCGGTACCTCACCGCGGACGAGTTGAGGGAGCTCAGACGCGCGGAGGCGTTGGCCGCGCTCGAGCGCGACGTCGGCGGCGGCGGCGGCGGCGGCGGCGGCGGCGGCGAGGAAAACGACGACGACGACGACGCCGGCGGCGCGGCGACGACGCGCGGGGGATACCACGCCGTCGACGCCGGCGCGGACGTCCCGGACGAGTCCCTCCTCCCGAACCCGCCGCTGCCTCCCCCTCCCGCGCCCGCGGCGCCGAGCGCGTCGTGGCCGGCCGCGTCGATCGCGGCGAAACGTCTGTCGTCCCCCGAGTTCGCCCCCGCGCTCGCGCGCGTCCTCACGCGATCCTCCTCCTCCTCCTCCTCTTCGACGCGTCCTCCGCCGTCGCTCGACGACCTCGCGTCGCGCCTTCGCGCCGCGAGCGACGCGCTGACGATCGTCCCGTCGCTCCGCACGATCCTCGTCGTGAAGTCCGCGTCCGGTGTAGCGTCCGACGACGCGGACGTGACCCGCGGCGGTCCCACGACGCGGTGCGCGTTTTACGACGTCGCGTCGCGGACGCTGTTCGCGTCGCCGCCGAGGGATCCCGGCGTGCAGTGCGCGCCGCTGCTCGCGCCCGCGGTGACGCGCGCGCTCGGGTTAGAGGACGCGACGGCGACGCCGGCGATCGCCGCGCTGTTGGCCGCCGCGGACGGGAAGGTGAGCGCGACGGCGGCGGCGTTGACCGGCGGCGGCGACGACGACGGCGGCGACGACGGCGACGACGACGGCGGCGGCGGCGGCGACGACGGCGGCGACGACGCGAACGCGAAGAAGAGGAACGACGCGTCGAGGGCGCGCGCCGCGGACGCCGCGCCGTGCGACGCGAGCGCGCGCGGCGAGCCCGGGGCGATCGTCACCGCGAGCGACGCGGAGCTCCTTCGCGCGCGCCCGACGCGGCCGCTGCTCGCGGGGGAGATTTGCGCCGTGCGCGTCGCGCGGTCGCCGGCGGACGCGGCGGCGGCCGCGGCGACCGCGCGCGCGGCGCGCGGCGGCGCGGCGCGAGCGAACAGGACGGATGATTTCATGTACGCGCGAGTGCGCGCGGACGCGAAGCCCGCGCCCGGGGAGGCGCTCGCGCGCGTCGCCGTGGAGACGTCCCCCGGGGTTGTGCGCGAGCTGTTATCCTCGGAGGTGTTCACGTTCGGTCTGTCGTCCGAGGGCGGCGCCGGGGACGGGGACGGGGACGAGGACGAGGACGCGCGCGCGCCGCCGCCGCCGCCGCCGAACGAGATCGCCTCCGACGCCGACGGCGACTCCGACGACGCCGACGGCGACTCGAACGACGCCGCGAGCGCCGCGAACGCCGCGGGCGTCACCGCGGACGAGCTCATCGGCGCCGTGCGCGACATGCTCCAGGCCGCGGGCGCGCCGCCGACCCTGGAGCAGACGACGCTCCTCGCGTCGCAGTTGAAGATGAAAGCCGACCTCGCCGCCGCCGCCGAGGCGGCGGCGACGGCGAGGCGGGAGACCGCCGCCGTCGCGGCCGCCGCGGAGACCGCGGCGAAGGCGTTCCACTGCCCGATCACGCAGTCCGTGATGAGAGACCCGGTGATCGCCGTGGACGGGCACACGTACGAGAGACGCGCGATCGAGGAGTGGTTCTCGCGCGGGCGCTCGACGTCGCCGGTGACGAATTTGCGCGTCTCGAGCACGACGCTCATCGCGAACCACGCGCTGCGGGGGGTCATCGCCGCGTACGAGGCGCGCGGGTTGACGCTCGACGCGTGAAGAACGGTTACTTACGCCTTATGCGTTACCTTATGCGTTACCATACGCCAACCAACCAGCCAAACGCTATAGCCACTTAGACTTTACGAAAGTACTTTCGTACTATACTACTCGTCGGACGCTAGCTCACCTACAGTACTCGTGAATAGAAGCCTCCAGGTCTCTGATCATCGCGTCGATGCGGCGCAGCTGAGAGACGCGCTCGGCGATCTCCGCTTTGACGGAGTGCTCGTGCTTCCGTCCCGCGCCCGCGGCTCGCATCTCGTTCATGAACACCTCGCGCTCCTCGATCTCGTTCGCGACGTCGTCGAACATCGCTCGCAGCGTTTCGATCTGCTGAACCTCCGTCTCCGTCTCGCCCGTTCGTCTCCGCGGCGGCGGCGGCGGCGGGGCGCGCGCGGCGGCGGCGGCGGCGGCGGCGGCGGCGGCGTCAGCCTTCTCCAACCCCGGCGGCGGGACGTACCCTCGCCTCTCTCCCTCCTCCTCCGGCGGCCGTCCGTCGAACTCCACCATGCGCTGATGCCTCAGCTTCCCCTCTTCGCCTATCAACCGCCTCGAAGGCCGCGGCGGCGGTCTCTCCCACGGCTTGTCCTTCTCCATCTTCGCGCGGATCTCCGCTTCGGTCTTTCGACACACGGTCGCGCGCTTCGCCGCCTCGAACTTGAACGCCTCCTCCTCCTCCTCCGTCATCGCGCGCCTCCCCGTCGGCGTCGGGACGTTCACGCGCTGGTTCGCGCGCTTCGACGACGCGACGCGCGCCTCGCGCTTCAGCGTCTCCTCGACGTGGGGCGGCGCGCGTCGCTTCGAAGGATCTGAAGCGTGCCTCACCTGCAGCTTCGCGACGTTGTAGTCGCTCATCAGGCGGCCGTACCTCTTCCCGGTGACGTCGCCGGGGGCGTACAGGTTGAAGACCGCCCGCCCCGCGGCGGTGCCGCGGCCGAGGACGTCCCACATCGTCTCCGCGTCGTCGTCGTCGTCGTCGTCGCGGCGCGGCATCGTCGCGCCCGCGCTCGAACGAGTGAGCACCTCTTTTTCCGTTCGCCCGTTGACTCGTCTTCTGGCTGGGAGCGCGGCGTCGTCTATCGCCGGTCGGACCTGCCGGTCGGTTCGATTCGAAAAACCGGAGGCGCGCGCGGCCGCGTCGCGCGCCGGCGTCACTTCACGCGGCGACGACGGACGCGCGCCCACGCGCACGCCTTCGCATTCGCGACCGCGCTCTGTTCGGTCGTCGCACGCGGCACGGTCATCGCGCGCCAGCGCTC